GGGCTGAGTGACGCACTGAAATGTAAACACAGTGGGAGATCACAATGTGATGCTTGGACTGGGGCTGTGAGACCGCAGGTGTCATAACTCAGAGTAGGTTTGTAGATTTTGGTAAACAATTGCTTTAATGATTTTAACGGCCCTCCTTGAACACCGAAGTCAAATAATTACCTCTCTCTGTTTATAACCTCTGTTCTGATTATTTTTCTCCTTTTTTTAGATTCAGCTTATTATTTTTACTCTGCTCCTAATTTCTCCCAGCTCTCTCCGAAACGACAGTTGTTTAGTGCGGTGTTAAAATATGACTTACATCATAAAAGAATGGACAAATAATCCTTTTATATTCACAATAAACAAGCCTAGGTGTTTACACATTTAACAATTATGATTCTGTTTTTATCTTAAACTTTTTGTTTGGCCATAGAACTTCAACCTTGAGAAAGAACCCTTGTGACAGCCCTGCCTCCCCCCTTCCCATCCTGCCTTCCTCGATCTCTCTCTCCCAGGGGTGTGCATGGGTTGAAGGGTCACTCTCTGTGTTTAACTGCCCTGTTCTGGAAACCTGGCAGTGACTGCTGTCTTTGTCTGGGCCTCTGTAAAGCTCCAGCTCTCTTCTTTTTCTCTCCGCTGCTGCTCCAGGCAGTGCTACTGTATAGGGTTGGCTCTCGCTCAGGGACATGCTCTGAATATCACATCACTCCAAATATACCTTCTGTGAGCAGAAAATCTTATACAAATAGCCCCACACACTGCTCTGCATTCCTTAAAACTCCCTTTGAAATGGCAACCTGCAGACGGCACTCTCTGTCTCAGCAATAAAGACGGCTTCGCCGGCAGAAAGATTGATTTTGTGAGGTTTTAACTTGTTAGAAATATGAACTCCCTGCTTCTCTGTTATTCCCCCAGTTAACTAATGTTAAACACAGATCGCAGCGCCTGACAGTAATGTTCACTGAGGCGGTGTTTATGGGTCAGAGGTGTGTGAATGATCGGGCCCGTTGCAGCCAGCTGTGGCTTTGGATCTGGCCCAGAACTTGAACTATTAGGCCTGTCTGTCAAGTTCCTGAAGTGGGTTTATATGAAACAGTATCTGCTTTCAAACAGCGGTTTGACCCACATCCAGGATCTGACCCCTTCTCTGGATTTGATGTGAGATTAAAACTAATCCAGAGATACATAATAGAAGGTCTAATATGACTTTGTGCAGGATTTATGGATCTGGATTCAGGTTCATGTTCAGCATAATTTTTTCCGTTGGAACTAAGAGTTTTTTTAGTAACAGAAGAACAGGTTGTAACCTTTCGATTGTTTTTGCCGTTTTCTGCTAATTTCAGGCCATACTAACTTACATAGCATGCATCATGAGAGATACTTCAGGGATGATGTGGAGTGGTCTCTTTATATCCTGCAGTGGTTGAATTTGAGTCTGTTCCTTTACATTTGATGTGGATGGAACAGGGATCATCTGGTTTCCTCATCAATGTCTGCTTGACTCCCTGCTGCCTCTCAGATTTATGGGACTCACCGCCTTCAGGAAGCTCAGCCAATTGTTGGTCTGATTTATTCTCTGATACAAATGCTGGACTTCTCTTGTTTTGTGTTGTGATTGTAGCTTCAAAACTACAGATGAACTATGGATTTGTTTTTAAAGAAGACCGTTGAATCTTTTTAGTTTTAATAGCTGCTTGAAGAGTGAAGGTGGAAACAGCAGTGCCAAAGACATGTTTTCGCACCACTGGCATCATTGCAGGCATGGCTTGGCCTTTGTGCAGTGATACTATCATTACGAATGTAATAATATAACTGAACTAATGAGGCTGCCTCTTGTGGTTAATGTGATGAGTGCTTCACTGTTACTACCGGTTGTTTATGTGATAAAAATGTCGCTTTTTTTCACAGTGGCAGAAGCTGAAATGTCTTATTCAATACTGCATCTTACATGTCTAATACAGTCCTTCCTTAGAGGCTTCACTGGAGCTCAGAGGGCAGGTTAGAAGACTCATGAGTAATAGTGTAGTGTAATTTGGCGATGGCATTTTCTTAGTCCTGTTAATGACCGGCAAGGTATGAATGGAGTTTGACAGCCTCAACATTTCCAGTGCTTTCTAGACTGGATTGTATCTTTCTCGATTGATTTGTCTCGGTTGAGACATGAGAGACATTTCTGATGGTAGAAAATGTGGTAAAAAATAGGTATGAAAAAGTCCATAGACAATATTGCTGTTTCCTGATGGGTTGAAAAGATTTTGTCAACAACTACACAGGCTGTGGATGAAATCCACAGGCCAAACAGCCGGTGTGGTGCTGAGATCGGACAAAGTTGGACAGAAACAAGGTTATGTGCTCTAATACCCAGTGGAAGCTACTGCACATCTGGAACTTCACATAAACAAATGGTCCAAGCTGTGGTTTTGATCATGCAGTGGTCATCACAAACACCACAAAAAAACCTTTAAGATTTAAAGTTTATTCTTGACCTTGAAAACGGCAGTTGGCAAAGCAGTCCCATCTCGAGGTCCTTTTAATAGCTGTTTTGGAGCTTTCGATCATATCACATGATCCTCATCAGGAAATGGTGCTTGCCCAGTCGTCTTTGAAATGTAGACGTTCAAATGTATATGTCTGCTGAGCATTTCATCAACTTTGTGAACATGTTTGCTTTACAGTTGAGGTTCTGAGTTCAGTTTTGACCTTTGAAGCAACAGATGAGAAAGAATCACACCTAAAGGCCCATTTAGTTGCTGTTTTCAATCCTATCACATGATCCCAGAACTTATTTTTCAGTTTTCATTCTTGCCAGTTTAAAGCTCAATTTCAGGTCAGATATTGTGTTTTATTCAGGGCGGTGCATATTCGGTTTGTATTTTTGCTGAGTTGAAATTTTTGCTCCACAATTTGTTTCACTCTTTACTTTGTTAAGTTTCTCTACTTTGTGCAAATAAGCTGAAACAATACTTTACTGTGCTGCACGAGTGTCTCATCAAAGGGTCGTTGTAGTGAGCGCTCTGGTTATTAACGTTCGGCTTGAAATACTTTCTAAGAAATTGTGTTGTGGAGAAACTGTGTTTTATACAGAGCAATATCCCAGAGGGAGCTGTGTGTGTTTTGAGGGCAGGAGTGTTTTCTCCTGTTTAACAGCAAAACCAGGCGACTGCTCACAGTGACTCCACTGTGTTGGAAGGGTTCCTGTCAATGCTACTGTGTGCTCACCGGGAGTTATTTCCACTCACCCGCTATATTGGAGGCAGGGTGGGGGAAAAACATGCCTACAGATGCCCACTCACGACTCCATGCACGCCCATTCGCATGTGTGTGCAAAGAGCCATTCAGACAGACACACACACACACACACAGACACACACACTCATACAGAGACTCTTGGTCCAGAACAATGATATGCAACTGCCCAGGATGTCTATGTCACTTCCTGTGTTTGTGAGGAGTTATTGGGAGTTGCTGTGGAAACCAAATGTAATATTGAAAAATCCCCTCTCACTCACACTCTCCCTCTCTCTCTCTCTCTCTCTCTCTCTGTGGCTCCCTCATTCTCTGCAGAGAAAAGCCAGTCTATAAGGGAGAGCCAAGCCTCATCCCCAACTCTGGCTGCAGCTGCCAGACTGTCAGCGATGATACACGGCAAAGACCGAGTGTACGCCAACGCCATGCTGGTGGACCAGGTGAGTGGGGCTGAGATCAGTGTTTCTTTCTTTGGTGTTTAAGTAAAAAGTCAAAAATAGCTCATGCGACGTAAAAGGTTCCATGACAGGAGCAACAAATCAGTCTGGGGAATGGCTGCTTCTCACTGCCTTCAATTTCTCACTTTTCTGTTCCAGGTGGATGATGCTGACATTAGATACCGCTCGCCAGGAGAGGAGGAGGTGAGCCCTGCTGCACCCCATGTTGGCAGCCAGTGCTGGGACTCTTTCTCCACGACTCCCCCTGACTCAGGGAACCGCTCCCAGAATCGGCACCCATCCTCACCCCATGCTGGGGAGAGGGTAATCCAGGGCCCCAGGCTGGAGAATCACGGGGAGCCATCCCCTCGCACATCTCCCCCCTCTCCCTTTGCTACCTCTCCGTCTTTTCCTTCCTCCCCCCTGGCTTCCGCCTTCCGTTTGTTCGAAGGAGCGCAGAGGCGTCAGGCACAGTCGTGCCTGCCAGCTTCTCCTGCTTTGAATCGCAGAGGATGCAGCTTGACGGAAGCAAGCCGGGGCCTGAGGTAGGACATTATTGCTGTTGATTTTTGAATTAAAAATAAAAACACTCAAAGTCTCAACTATTATATTTAGTTAAAAAAATATTTAATGTAACTGCCTCACAACTGCTTGAGTTAAACTGAGCATTATGGCCAACTTGATTCAGTGAGAATCAGTGCCGCTGCACAATTTAGAAACTTGCAGTGTGATCTTGTTGGTAAAAAATGATAAACTTTCCTATGACTAACCCAACCAAGGATCATCTGTTTGGAATTTCAGCAAAAGCATTTTTCGACGTGTAGTGCATTGATTGTAGTCAGTGAAGGTGCGGAAAGTGACAGGAAGCCTGGACACAATTGAGCTGTTTGTGTGTTGGAGTTGCAGAACATTCCTTCCAGTTTCCTCAGTGCTGCAGAATCTTCTGTAATGGGACAGAGGCTGGCGAAAGGCTACATGGTTTAAAGCCTGATTATAGCCTGGATTCAGCTTTGACGACTGCCAATGATGATTTTTAAGGTCATGGAGATCATCTGCCCTCAGAATGGTGAAGGTCATCATGGAGACAGGGTCAGCAGATTATCTTGTAGTTAACAAGAGTTTAGGTTGTAAAACTGTTGCCTCCCCGACTGAGTCATGGACCAATTGGAGGCATCAGACTTGGTTTCAGCTGATTAATGACAGAAATGGAAATTACAGTTTTTCATGTGTGTGTGTATGTGTGTGTGTGTGTGTGTGTGTGTGTTTATGTGTGTGTGTGGTTGCCTCCGTGTTTGTGTGTGTGTATATGTGTAAATAGTCCTAGTCTTGAGTGTGACAGCGGGGAAGAGGACATACTGGGACATTCCTACCCCTGCTCGTCTTCAAAGCAGCAGTCCATCCTGCGGTCCAGCCTCGGAGAGGAGCGGGACTCTTTCAACACGTCGCCAGACTTTAACCGCACACACTCCAGCAGCTCGCAGAAGTCCACAAAGGTACACCCTCAATTTTCTCCATCCATGTAAAATCGCATGTGGCCTGAGACGGACTGCCTGTAGAGTCCGGCTCTCCCACATCTTTATTCCAAACAACAAAATAAAATTTTATGAATATATTGCCCTCTAGACAGAGATGGAAATTATTATTCTGACTGATTTCCTACGACTGTAAACTCATGAAATTGTGTCACATAGTATGACAGTTTGACTTTGAACTTTTGTCAACAGATCAGATAAGCAGGTCACCTGTGTCCCAGAGTCTGTTTCCATTGTAGCATGATGTGCTGAACGGAGCTGATGTATCACACCTCCCATTCATGCATTTCGATTTAATTTAGTTTTATTATCATTGAAAACATTTTGGCAGCAGAGTTTATTGTAAAAATGCATTTCAGACACAATAAAACACTGAAAACCCAGTGAACAGGGAGCCTTATACATAGATATAGACTAACATCAATTGAGTTCAGACTGTCAGCAGCTCAATAATGTGAACAAAAAAGTCAGACATATTGATCTGTCAGCTCTGCAACATGCTGCTGTCCTCCGAGTTTCCTGTTCACAGGACTGAACCTGTGAACCTCTGCTCTCAGCTCGGGCTGATCTGTTCCTTCTGACTTGTTCTCTCACCCAGAACCCAGAGGAGGCCGAGGTTCGTCTACGCTCCTACTCCTACTCCTCCCCCAAAGCGAAGCCGACACGGCCGCTGCTAAACCGAGACGCAACCATCACTGACCTGGCAGAAGGTGAGTGAACTTTGACCCCTTTGCCCTGTGACCTTTCTGTTCCCAGGAGCCAGCTGAATGGACACATGTGCCACATGTCTAACGGGGGGGGAGACCAGACAGGTGTCATAAATCAACTGAACCTCTATAAAGTATATGTCTGTTTACGGTCAGCTTTGATACAACCGCACTACTCATGTGTATGAGTGAGTGTGCGGCATTAAGGCCATGCTTTATCCTGTGTAGATGGTGCATTCAGCAGCAGCGGCCGTTCTCTACTTCAAGCTTTATCTCTCTCTAAATCCCTCTCGCGTCTCAACCAAGTTAGTAAGTACAAGTACACTGCCGGTTGGTTGGTGAATGCATTTCACTGTGTCTTCTTGCTCTTTCTGGTGAACCATGGGACAAACCGATGTAATTACCAAGAGTTGCACAATTAAAAGGCATGTTTGGTATATTTAAACTTCTCATGACCCACTGTAATTTAAAAGTATATTTATACAAGTTGGAAGTGAAACAGTTGAATTAGTCTTGATGTAGAGAGAAATCAAATCATTCTGAAGTAAGAGGATTCACCGAGATATATAATGATCAAACAATTTTGCAAAACAATGATGTTTCTCATCAAATTGTCCAGCCCTGTATCTGTGGTAAGATTTAGCTCTTGGTGGTGACTGTGGCCCTCATAATGTGCAATGCATAAACCACTGTCTCAGTAAATAACTTTCAGTATTATTTTGAATTGCTGGATGATCAAAAGCAGACTTTCTCCAAAGCTCAATGCCAAGACTTTTTTCTTTGTAATAAAACAATAGTCATCCAAAATACTCTTTAATGACCGACAAGTAGAAGTTTGAATCTTTAAGATTTGGATATCCTGAGGCTTTGGAAAAATGTCTTCTTTATATAACTCTTATAGATCATCTGAAGGAGGAGTTGTTTCTACTCTGAAGGATCTTTTTGCTTCTGTTTGGGTACACGATTTTGTTTCCCTCTTGGTTTTTATTTTTTCCATCTTTACTGTCATCTGGTTTTTCAAGGCAAAACTTGTTTGCTGTGTTTGTTCTTCCTCTGTAGGGGTTTGCTGGATCCAGACTGGTTCAGGGACGCCTGTATTTGCTTCTAAGTTGATTCTGATTTAGGATGATGGTTTTTAACCCTCTCGGCTGATTAACCTAGAATCTGTAATCATGTCTTCAGCTCTATTTACATGTGTTTCTGACTTACTTATTTTCCTATTCTTGTTCCTCTACATTACAGAGCAGAGAGCGTTCAGCCTGACAGAGACGCCCAGAGAAAAGAGGTAAAACCAGCTTGTCATTTTGGGAGCTCAGGCAAGACCCAGTCAACTCTGCAGGGTCCTGCTCAGATGTTCCTCCCTTTTTAGGCATCAGTGTTGACCAGTGGTTAGACATTGGCTCAGATGAGCCTGCATGTGTGTATGTGTGCATTTGTGTGTGTATGTGTATCTCCAGTGTTAAACCTGTGGTTGGGGTCTGAGTGTGCAGGATATGACATACTTCCTGTTGCAAGGCCGGGGCCAGAATACGCTCTGATTGCAACCTCAAAATAACCCTGAGTAAACAGCAAAACTCAGGGCTTTCCTGGACATCAAACATCTAGCTCTTTTCTGGACCACATCAATGATACTGCATTTGTTGTGTGTAAATATTCTAGTATGTGTTTTCAATATACATTTTAACAGATGTACTGACTTAACATCTGCTTTATAATCCTACCATGTAACAAATTTTGCTTGTTTTCTTTGTATTTCACAATTGCCACAATCCATATTCATTTTACAGTTTATTTAATCTCACTGCCTCATAAATTTATCATGCACTAATGCATTTTGTTTGCTAACAACCATGCATTGCTAACAGTGGAAACATTTTAGACAATCATGTTAGACAATTAGATTATCATATTAGATCATTGGATTATTGCATTTGAATAGATCATATTAATGTTACAATATTCACGACACCAGACTGATCGGACTCACTGACCATTTTTGTCCCTCACAATATCCCAGTTAATCCAATCTTAATAAAATGGTGATGTTGCCCCTGTCTTAAGCATTTGCTAATGTTTTATATGGTTTACTAAAACAGTATGTTGCACAAACAGCCATGTGACTGTCACAATGTAAAACCTGTTGTCATCTTAACTTTTCCATACAGGCCCAGAATTGTAGACTCTAATTTTAGATGCTATACATATTGTCAACTTTTTTTTTGGGGTCTCCTGATAAACTGGAAAAACAACAACCTGGTCTGGGGTGTGTTATATCCATGCAGGGTTTTGGGTTTCCGTAAGCGGGCCCAGTCAGCAGAGGAAGAGAGCAGCGCATCAGTCCAACACCTCACCCTCACAGAGTTCCTCAAAGAGTATGTTTTCACCAAAACAACCTCACAGCCATGCATGTGTGGCTGAACTCATTCTAACCCCGTCATAACCATTCTCCAACTCATCCATTGACCATGTGGATTCTTTGCAGCTGTATTTGGTCATTTAAGAACCTTCAGAAATGAGTTGTATTAACACTTTTAATTTCATGTCACAGTTTGGGTTTGGTGTGATGTTGCATGTCTTTCTCTTGTTTCTTTACGTTTTGCCGTTGTTTCCTTTCACCTAGAATGCCTAATGTGACTAGCATAAGTTTTTATAAATAGCCGACACATTATTAATTGCATCTTGCCAAGGTCATACTATAAATAGTATCTACTACAATCCTTAGTGACTTCCAAGCATGCCAAGCATGTTGTTAAGAGTAATAATCTGTAGACCAGGGGTCCTGGAAGACTGTCTGGACATTCTTTCATTCCAGCATGACACCAGTGTAGCTGATTATTCAACTCTTCATAGTCTATTAAAAGTAATGACTAGTTTTATAAAGCGTGTGCATGTTGGGTTTGAGTGCTGCCGTCTTCCATAGGCCAAAATGATGTGAGAAGTCGTGATGACTGCTGACTGAGATGTTTATACTGAAACAGGATCGAGGATGAGGAGTGGGATAAATACATAATCCCATCTAAGGTCGAGTCAGAGAAGTACAAAGTCAGCCGGACATTCAGCTTCCTCAAGAGCAGGATGTCCAGCACTCGCAACAAGACCAAGGTGAGGCAACAGAGTGAGAAATGTAATTCCTGCTGACTAAGATTTCACCTACATGTGTTCAAAACATGATTGAAAAATCCCTATAGTTGAACTTTACAAAAAAAAAAAGAAAAGAAAAAAAGTCAGAGCTGAACGGCCTTCCAAAGTGCACAGTAAAAGGTTTACCACCTCTCAGACGAGCCAGGTCAGAATTCCTGCACTGGAGAGCCATTGTATGTTCACTGTGCCTTTATTTGGCAAGGAGAAAATTCTCTCTCCTCAGGTCTTAGCAACGGGACACAGAGAAAATATCCTCTTACATAATACATAGACCCCCACCACACAGCGTGAGGAACCAAAACACATTCCATAGTATACTCTCAATCTTCTAAACACGTGTGTATATGTCCAAGAGCATGTTTCCATGTACTCACAGACACGCGATGCACATGAACAGTCAAAAAACAAACATGCACTCGTAGACTTCCTTGTTAAGTTTGATGAGAAAATAAACACACACATACACAGAGGAATCCCCCCTAATTCCCCCTTAAGGACACCCACCACAACAGCGGCCGTCCCCGCGGACCTTAACAAAGTAAACAGAAGAGCTCGCTCAGAGGCCCCTTTATCTCAACTAACTCCACTTTAACAGGTGTGTTTCAGCAAGAAGATAACCACCGTATGCCTCTTTCTGCCTGCTGCTCGGAGTCATGCTTTCTTCTTTGGTGGTTTTTACACGATATTGTGGCATTGACTCCAGTAAATGTCAGCTGGATATTTATGACTTGTATTTCAGGTGAAGGGCAAAGAGGTAAAGGAGGGAAAGGAGAAGTCAGGAGCCACTAATGGACACCAGTTTGTTCCCGTGTCTCCATCTGGTCCGGCTCTCTGTGTGGCCTGTGATAAGTCTGTTTCTGGGAAGGAGCTGTTGCAGTGCTCCAGTAAGTATTATGCTGTCAGTACTGTTGTTGTTTTATGTGCTGTGGTGGCTGAACTGTTTAGGGTTTGTGTAAATCTCCTTGCACGTACTACCTTGATGTTACGATCAGTAGAGGACGTGAAGTCAGTTTTCTTCCTCCCACAAATTCAACACCAGTGCAGAGGAGCAGAGCAGTTTGACAGCCATCTGGACATTGAATCCAGAGATGTGGTAATTGTGTTTATTATCACTTAACTGATGAAATTAACTGGGATTTGCCTTTGCCTGCAGACTGTTTCCTGAATGTCCATAAGAACTGTCGAGAGTCTGTTGCAGCCTGTGGAAAGGTAACCACCGACATCACCCACTTCATTTGATCCCAAAACCAGCAAGCAAGACTGATGAATGATTTCAAACAATAGTTTAAAGGAAATATTCAGCCTAAAGGACTTTACAAACATTAAATAACCGCTGTTGGTGATGGACAATGCATGTCTGGGACCACTTTGTGTTTGATGATGTGTTTTTATATTTGATAAAGACGCAGTTACAAACAATGTGGTGTCATTTCAAAATGTGTGCAACAGTCATACTTGGGTTTTCTTTTTAAATGATGATTCGTGAGTGACACAATGTCTCATGGAGAAAGTGTTTTTCCAAAGGGAAACTCCACCAATTTAACACATATAGGTCAAGTTTACTTGTCATAGTTGTGAAGCTACTCCCTCTGAAAACTGGTGTTTCGTGTCTAATGTGGGTCTGGATGAGATTTGTCAAGTCTGAGAAAATAACTCTGATGACATCATCTCGGCAATCCCATGTTGAGCTTGGAGGCTACAAGTTTGTTACAAAAATATGCTTCAGGTGGCGTTATAGGAAATGCAGCATCTAGCATGATTGGAGTTTGACCTCTACCAGGGACTTTTAGATAAAGATTTAATCTTCCAAACCCGTGAAAGTACAATACTTACAAGTACAATCACTGGAGGACGCCCTTTACTGCCTCAGTAAACCAGAATGCAGTGACAAGATATGTATTGTATTTTGAATTATAGGTGCCCTGTGGAGTTTTCTTGTAAATACCAAACTTATGTTTACATTCAGTGATTCTCCCTTCCTCATAAAATATTTGCTAAACCAATTCTTTAAATATTTTAAATCATGCATTGTTTACACCCATGTTTATCAGCCTACAGTCTTCTTTTTCACTTCCTTTCTTCCTTTCTTTCTGCTCGTCTTAGTGCATTTGCGATGGCAACTGTTGATTAGAAGAATAGCATCAAACCACCGCCCACACTTGCCTATTTACACATGTCCTTGTAACACTTGTAGAAATTGCTCCATCGCGCTACTAGTGGTCAAAAACTCTGCAGGTCCTGTCACTATCATGTTATTAGTATGCTGCAGCTGTTACTATTGTGACTTTTTGGGAATTGTTAGAAATCTGTAGCTGTCTACTGACTGTGTCCGTGGTGTGCGACAACAACCCAACATCCCAAGATCAAATCCGGCTTTTGTTGTAGGTCATTCCCTCTGTCTCTCCCTGTGTTTCTTGTCACACTCTACTTTGCTGTTTCATATATATATATAAATATATATATATATGTATATACATATAATTTAGTAAAGTGCAGGCAGCCTGAGAGGAGGTGGGTAAAGCAGGATGACAAATTCCAACACTTAGTGGCAAAGGAACTCCTGCAATGTGTTGGGGGGAGGTGGGGGGGATTTTAACACAAACTGTGATTCATATCTGTTGATGTTAATATGATTATTTCTTTCCCCAGAAGCTGCAGGAGAGGAGCGCATTGCTAATGAAAAGCAAGACCTTGTCTCTCCCACAGAGTGAGTCAGAAATTACAATGTGACCCCCCACACCCCCACACCACCACCACCACCACCCTCCCCTCCCCTCTCCCACAGTGTCCTCCCTTGGTCTTTGATTCATTTGGTTTCCACCTGTCCTCCCTTGTTTCTCCTGTAGTGTATTAAGTGAGCTATTTCTCCCCACTCTCCCCCTCTTCCTTGTTCTCTTCCTGGTAAAACAAAGTTACATTTTAATCTATCTCAGTGGGGGATCTGGCCTGGGTTGTGTCCACGTGTGTGTTTGTGCATGAGTATGAAGTGTTTCTCTCTCACTGACAGGATCATTTTATTTCTTAATGTGAAACTCTGTGTCTTCACTCATTGATGTCTGACAACAGTGTGAAGGTCAAACACAATCAGCTTCAATTACTACAACATATTGTCACAACTGTGGGCTGGATGCCCAGTTACACAATGACAGATATCAACTGCAGACCTCCTCACAGCTCCGTAATCCAGTTACTGTTGCATTCAGTGACTACACAGATATAAACAAAATGTCTGAATACTGAACAGAGTTTTGAAGTATTTATTTGTAGAATGATGAAAAGCCTCCACGGTGTGACTGATCTTTGTTCCTGTTCCTCCCGTTCTCCTCTTTAGACTCTGTGAAAGACAACTCTCCAGCCTCCATTTTTTCTTCTTCCTCCTCCTCCTCCTCTTCACTGCCATCGATGACCAGAGAGAAGAGAGAAACAGTCATCCCTCTCACCAAAAGCCTCTCCATCTCTATAGACAGCAGGTAGGATGGCAGTGCCCTCATTATGGTTTCACCAATAGATCGAAGCCATACTTGGAGTTGTTAAATTTGGAATATGACCACTGCGACAAAAGAGTCTGTTTTCAATCTGACTGCAAATGCTGGAATCAATTAAAAGAATAAATAACAACGACATGCACCGACATGCAAACACTCTCTTTGTCTTTGTCAAAATGTTTCATGTTCAGTTCCAACTTGATTTGTTTCTCTGCAGACGGCTGAGTGACTCAGCGGGAGTGGACGGAGAATGCAGCGCGACAGCTTGCGCTAGCAGCTTATTGTCTGATGAGGGAACACCGGTCACAATGACTCCTCCATCCACCGAGCCGCCAATCATTACACAGGGTGAGGAAGAGAGACTTACCGGATTTCAGTTTCTTAGCGGGGACAGTGATTCAGAATTAAGACATTGTTCATTATTTTTGTTCTCACAGATGCTGTTGATGCTCCTCTGCTGAGCGACCTGTCAGCTGACCTGCTCGGCCTTGACGCAGAGTCATGGAGTCTGGCAGTCAGTCCGGAGTTCTGCAGGCAACACGACAGGCACACCGTTAAACGACAGGATGTTATTTATGGTGAGAACATTCTTTCTTTCTTCCGTCCAAAAACTTGTGTTACTAGCATTTAGCTTTGTGTTATTTTATGAGCATTGTAAAGCAGATCTTATTGATTCAATTGAACAACAGTGGGTTGAAGCAAAGTATCACACATTTCTGTAATCAAGCTAGTTGATTGGAAAACCTGACAGGATACATGACGCACACTTCCTCATTCGTGATCCATAAAATGTTTTGCTACTCTTATTTTTTCCCACAAAATGTCTATGTAGCTGTTGAAATCCGCTTCTGGCCAATCTTACCCATTGCTTCTAAAATTCTGTTATAATCCCCCTCCCCCACAGAGCTGATGCAGACAGAGCTGCACCACATCCAAACCTTGACGGTCATGTCGGAGGTGTTCAGGAGAGGCATGCTGGAGGAGCTGCAGCTGGACTGGGACTGTGTGGCCCGGATCTTCCCGTGCTTGGATCCCTTGCTGCTCTTCCACAGGAACCTCTTCGGAGCGCTGCAGGAACGCCGACAGGCCGCAACCCAACCTGAGAACCCCCGAAATTATCTCATCCTTCAGATTGGAGACATACTGCTTCAGCAGGTTGGTGAAGATTCATTCATGCATATAAAGACACAGATACAAGTCTACACTCAGTGTCTGATGCTCTCTCTCTCTCTCTCTCTCTCTCTCTCTCTCTCTCTCAGTTCTCAGATGAAAACGCTGAGAAGATGAAGCAGGTGTACGGCGAGTTCTGCAGTCACCACACCGAGGCTGTCAATGTCTTCAAAGACCTGCAGCAACAGAATAAGAAACTCCAAAACTTTGTCAGAGTAAGACCCCTGACCTCTTGTGCTTTTAAAAAAATGAGGGTTTTGCAGTAAAATGATTGAACAGGTGATGTTCTTATTTTGAGTTTTTATCTCTGTTCACAGCAACAGAGCAATAACTCTCTGGTCAGGCGGAGAGAGGTGCCTGAATTCATCCTGCTGGTCACTCAGCGTATCACCAAGTATCCAGTGCTGCTGGAGAGGATATTACAGTACACTCAGGGTAAGTCAGCTCTACTGTGTCCTACACAAATCTCTTAACAGTTATGTAAGCAGAGTGCTAACATGTGTGAAACACGTCTCTTTGTGTGACTGTGCTTTGTGTGGAATATATAAACAGCCTAAATGTCTGAAGTTTTTGGCTCGACTGCAAGAGCGGGGCCAGTCCTATAATCACAAATGTCCATGACTGATTCACTGACTGACTGAGTGATCATATTTCCACCATTGGTCAGCCGAATGCCTCGTTACTGAGTTGGAGTTTCCCTAACGACTGTTTCTCGTTCAAAATAAAAATGGCTCAAACAGTTTCTATTAAGGGGGCATTTATAGCCTACGGCAATATGGTACATGTAATGAATGTAGTTTGCCGTAATGGAGGCGAGTCTCAGTGAATTGGAAGCGCAACTCTACCTTGCTGCAGATCCTGATAAGCCCGGGAACCCAGGCAGGCTGGGTGACTGTCTGACTGCCTGTCACAAGAGGCTTAGCCCTAACCCCACACTCCACACCCAATACATAGTCCAGCTGTGTACTACGTTTACATGTAGTCTTGTTATTTTTACTTTGAATGCAGCATAATTGAAAAACTGTGTTTGTTTTTATTATCTCTGTGCTGCCTCTCTACCCCCACAGAGGGAAGTCAAGAACACTCTGACTTGTCAAGTGCCCTGGTTCAGATCCGTGACGTCGTCACCACAGTGGACCTGACTGTGAATAAGTATGAGAGGTGTCAGGAGTTGCAGGAAGTGTTGGCCCGGCTGGAGAACAAGAGCTTTGCCAAGCTCAAGAACGGCAAGGTGTTTCGCAAACAGGACCTGCACAGCAAACACAGATATCTGCAGCATAAAGGGCTGGTCTACTGGAAGACTGCCACAGGACGTCTAAAAGGTGTGTATGACATCACCTGTGCCACTAGATTTTTTGAGTTTTGAAACAACCAATCTGCATGTATTTCTACTTTTCTACGTTTTCAGATACTTTGGCGCTCCTGCTCACAGATGTGCTAGTTTTCCTACAAGAGAAAGACCAGCGCTTCATATTTGCTGCTGTGGTAAGCCTCAACCCAGACACCTTGGCCCACAGTCCATCCATTTCCTTCAATCCGTCAACCCCATTTTTATGGGCTCTATCCACTCTTTCAGGACCAGAAGCCTCCAGTAATCCCTCTGCAGAAGCTCATAGTTCGAGAAGTAGCCAATGAGGAGAGAGGGATGTTTCTTATCTCCGCCTCCTCAGTGGGACCAGAGATGTATGAAGTTCACACCACCACCAGAGAGGAGAGGAATGCATGGATGAGACACATACGACAAGCTGTGGAGAGGTGTGTGTTTATCCTACTTTGAATCCGTTTGCCTGGTCAGTGTGTGCAAGTGCATGTGTGTTACTCATTATCTAACCCACTTGTCTACCTGGCAGTTGTCCTGAGGAAGAGGAGGAGGAAGAGCGAAGTGCTGAGACAGAGGAGGTCAGGCGAGCTGCAGAAGCAAGGGTTCAGAAGATCAACAAGTTCCAAGGTAAAAAAAAAAAAAAAATGTTTGTGTGCCCACACGCACGTTTTATCTGTTATCTGTGTTCGTCAAGATGTCATTTGTTTATATTGTGGAGAGCTTGTGTAGCTATGAAACATCAAAAATCATTCTGTGATATAAACCATAAAAAACAATGTCTGAATTATAGTGCATGTTTTGTGCAGAGACACTGTTGGGTCAGGACCAGCGTATCTGCAGCAGCCTGGAGGAGAAGCTGCACTTGTATGCTGAGCTCACTGAGTTAACCCTCCGCTCACCAGAACCTGTACCACATCGCCATCTGCTGGTGCAATCAGATACAGACAGTGAGGTGCCACGACAGGCCTCCTCACTGCTGACAGCTGCACTCAGAGAAGGTGGGAAAGCTACTGTGTGGCTATGTGGTGATGGAGTCATGCTGTGTATATCAGTTTGAGCATATATTTCGTGAGCCTAACGGCGGCTTATTATCATGACTTATGACTAAACTACAAAAAAAAAATGAATATGAATGCACCACTCTGGCAGACTGCTCAGTTAATCTTCTCACTTTCATCTGCATTGCCACACTGACTTTGAAATACAAATCTTTTGGGTGGGTGGAAATCTATGTTGATCTATATTTCCTATTGTATGTTATCTATGTTTGAGAAATCAAATATAGATATCAAATATTGAATCCAACACTATAGCACTTTATACACAGGGCTGACCCCTTGCTGTAAGGGGGGCTTTCCGCAATATTTTTGTGAGTTTTTACAGTTTTTACACTTTATATACTGTATCAATTTGAACAAATTATACCAGTTTCTTAAAGCCCCTAGTACATAGCCAATTAACCATGGTACACTTACACAGGTGTTTTCACTTATTCTGGTTGATTAGACCTTGTGTTGCCATGTGCTGCACATGCTTCGTGACATCTCCCTCACTCTCCTGTGAGTTTGGTTTTTCCCTTTTGCTGAGCAGACAATTTAAGTTGCTGAGCAGAAAAAAGCATTGCATGGCTCTCTGTTCCTGTGAATGAATACTGACTGCTTGTGACTTCCTGGGACACTTAAAGGAGCTATTTGTAAGTTTTGCTATTGCTACATCACGAGCATTAGTATCAACAGCTGTTCATTCACCAGTCTTGCCGAGAGCTTCCTACAGTATTGTAGGAAACAACTAATAGTTGCAACTGAATCCTTTTTTTTTTTGAAAGTGATATAGTGTAGATATTTGTTGTTCACAGAATAATCACGAGTTTTGACATATATTTGCTTCTTTTGCAGCAGAGAACCTGATCACCATTCTTCAGGTTCGCGATGGCCTTTCTGTGCAAAGTCAGAACTCTCCTGTCCGAGGACCAGAGTGCTGCAGCTACAACAGTCACGGCAGCAGCATCCAAGAGTCTCCCTCTGAACGTGAGCCGCAGATATACACTGTAATTCTGAATGTCATTTTGTATGTTTGTCCTCAAGTTGGCATTGCTCTCTCACATACAAGTTGACCTTTACTGATGTGGGTTAACCACATTGCATAATACACAAGATGTGCCGTTCACCATGGTCCCTCTCCGTTTCCTTGCTCCTACAGCAGATTATCTCAGCACGCTCAGTATGAGCTCCACCTCTCTCGGATCAGACACCGAGTTGACGGGGCCGGATAGCGTGTTGTGGAGCTCTGCTGTCGATCTGAGGAGAGGAGACACCAAAGGGACACTGTTAAAGGTTCAATCACTGTAGTTCCCATCAGCAATGTTTGGTAATGTGTAAGTGTACATTACTGTTCCCCTGTATTAACACATTGTCCTGTAGGTGGCAGAGAGTGTCCAGAGCCTGACTCAGCTTCTCTACAGTCTGCAGGTGAGAAAATACACAAGTCTCAGTATCTGTGGTTTAATATCCAGATTGAAAGGACAGAGTTAATTGATCAGTTGGCACAGTGTATGTAAATGTATTTTGGTGAACAAAGCTTGTTGTAAAATGTTTAAATCTACCCTAATCTAACCAAAATCTAAACTTAAATAGTTTTGATATGTGGTTTGAAGGGATATGTATTCAATAAAACTGGATTTGAATTTGTAAAGATGTTGTCACATTTCCAGCCTAATATCAGCCTGACACTTTTTATATTATGGGTAGTAACTTGAGTGTGATCAGTCGTTTCCTCCTTGTGTTTGCAGGCTGCTGTGACCCTCCAGGACAGCTGCTATGAAGTCCAGAAACTCCTTCTCCAGGAGGGAGAAAGACCTCAGCTCCGAACCCTGACTTCCCTACAAAACAGTCTGGTAACAGTCACAGGATATTCATGTTAAAATAAATGTTTTTACTACATGTAGACTCATACCAGTGTATCAGTGGTTTGAGGAAGTAAGACTAGAATTTAGTTGCCTTTTCATTCTGTTTTTATCCAGGAGCAGGAGAAACAGAAGAATATTGATAAGAAGAAAGAGGAAGTAGAAAAGAAGGGTTTAGAGAGGAAGAAAGAAGAGGTGGTTGAGGTGCAGAAACTCCATGTGAAGCTGAAACAGGAGCAGCAGCGCTGGGACAAAGAGTGTCTGGTCAGAGAGAAAAAACAGGTGAGCCACAGCTGATGTTCTCACTTAAATGTTCTCTCACTTGTCTTTCCTGTCTTTCTCTGTTCTCATTCCAAGGTGGCTTGGTGCTACACAAAAAGTGTTATGGTTAGCTTTGGGCACACTGAGGTCTCACCCATATTTTTCATCTGTGCCACTTTCTGCCACATCCCTCTCATCACATCTGATTCAAAGCTCTCAAATACAATGTAAAAAGTAAAAAACACCACCAGTTGATATACTACACCCTTGACTCTATAATACAGTTAATAGAAACAGGTCTAAATAGACACAATCAGCACATAATGTGCAGTGAAACTTAAGTGTTATCTTGTGGTGAAGTGTTGTCACTTCCTTTTTCCTTCAACCTCCACAGGCAAATGGGAGTTCCTGCCTGTACATGAGGCTTACTGGGTAACTCGTTTCTGAACACACATTCTGATGAAATCAAAAACGTGGCAGCAGTTCATTGTTGTCCGTCAAGACTTTTGTCACTTGCTCCGTGTCCAACACTAAAATGTGTTGTTTTAGATACTGTAGCTGCAATATTCTCTGCTTTTTGTTTTGCCTTGCCATTATTACTTGTGCCTACATTTGTGCAAGTGCAAGAGAAGAAACACAATCAATAAGACAGATGGGGGGAAAAAAAGAACAGATGACCAAAAGCTGTCAAATGTTTTTAACACTGCAAATCTGATATCCAGTTGTGCTGATATCATAACCACAGAGAGAGATAGATGCTGCCTGAACTTTCTGATGTGCATGTGCCTTGTGTGTTTGCAGAGCGCACAGGAGACTGTGCTGGAGCAACGAGAGCAGCAGTGCTTCTTGGAGGCTGAGCGTCTGCGCTGCGAGCGTGAGGAGCTGGAGGCCCAGCTGCTGGAGTATCAGCAAAATCTGGACAGACTGAGGGAGGGCCAGAGGAGTGTGGAGAGGGAGAAGGAGAGGATTGAAGCCCAGCAGAGGCTTCTCCAGAGCTGGAGACACACCCGCCAGAGCAGTCTGCCTGTTACAATACCACTGGATGGATACAAGGTATGAGAGGGAGGAGGAGGAAAGACAGGAAGGGGAAGGCAGCAAAAAAAAAAAAAAAAAAACTCACTGAACTCACTGAAGCAAACCATGTCCTCTCTGCTCTTTTGCTGTTGTTTCATTCACCCAGGTGTCCAGCCACAGCCGCTCAGGCAGTCTGGATGGCAGCTGTTCAGTGTATGAAAATGAGGCAGCTTTGCTCACCTCCCTCCAGCATAACCACCCCCACCAGCCCGCCAACAACAACCAGCACCAGTGTCTGCTCTCCACGTCGAGGAAGAACCACGACGGCCTCCTGCATGGCTCCAGCTACACCGCTAACCTCGGCCTCAGCGCTAGCCTCTACAACAGCCTCAACACCCTGCTGAGCCAGGCACACAGCAAACAGCCTCCAGGTGGTCTGACGTACCCAAACTACAGCAACAACCACAGCTGCCCTCGGCCTCTGAACGACTCTGTGCACCCATTCGGCAGCAGGGTCGCTGCACAGCCACACAGGACCAACAACAGTAAGAATATTTACTGCATATGAAATCATACAAGATTGTAAGAAACCTTACTGTGATGATCTTTGTCTTAAGATCTTCTGTTGTTCTCCTTCCAGCAGACTTCAGCCCACCATTGGACAGGCGATCCCTGGGGCCCTGGAGGTCAGAGGTCACAGGTCATGGACTTTACGAGGACTACTCCTCCTCTCCCTCTCTCACCCCCCTCCTTCCCCCGCAGGCTTACCTCTCTCTTGAAGGACAGAACGGGGAAGAGGGAGGTGAGGAGAACATCGTTTATCTCTGAGAATCATTCAAGAGAAACAAACTGCAAGTTGCCAGACACATAACTGGACTGACAATAATACAGTATATCTGTTGCTTACATGTGTTTGTGAATGTGTGCATTTGCATCCATCTAAATGTGATGGATATAGGTTCATTTTTTAAACCTGTATAATCAAATAAGGGAATAGTTGCAGGGAGGAAGCATACGCAGACTGTATGTGCCTTTGTCAGTGTATGTCAGACATTAATCATTCTCTTCCTGTGTGATGAAACCATTGTGCCTTTTTGCAAACAAGCTATTTGTAAATCAGCTTTTATACTTGTACTCCCTGTGTTTTTACTTCTATTATAATTCTTTTTATTATGTGTTGGACTTGTTTGATGGCAGAGGTACCTAAAGCACCAGGAAATCTGCATAGAGGTATTGAATCTATTTTCCAATGAGCACTTAAAAGAAAATGGAAATATTTGAGAAGCCAATCGAGTCTTTCCCCAAACTATGTATAGAGTGCTATTACTTCTCCATGTGATCTTTAATAATATTTATGAGGGATTGTGAGCATCTAAAAGACATATAAATATACTGACATTATTGTATAGATATTAAATATATGTATAGTTTTATGGAAAGGCTACCTATGCACACTGTTGGAGGAGGAACTTCATTTTTCTCACTTAAGTGCCAAAAATCTTGCTATCTGATACTGTAATTGATTTCTGTAAAGAGTGGCTATATTTTTTCTGTTCACCTCCTTTTCTGATAATTTATTGTGTGTAAATTGCTTTATGCACTGTCAACAGTAATAATATTTTGTTGGATATGTGTTCTCTTGTAATCTCTGTAATCAGAACTGTGATGTGCCATATTAATATTGTGCTGTATATAAAACGCTTGTGGAACACATCTGTTTTTTATGTGTATTCTGCCTTGTGTAAAACAGCAACATCCGTTTGACATTTGCGCACCCTGGGGTTTCGAGGTGACATTATTACACAATACTATGAAAGTATTTGCAGTCAGGCTGTCATTAATCATTGGCTCATGAGTCTGAGTAAACACAGGCAGTTAACAGTCAGTGCTTCCCTCTGGTTTCACTTCGATCGTTTTTCTGCTGAGAGGATGAAAAGTTTCAGAATGTCTTTGATTATCCTGCTTCAGTTGTATCTAATATTTTCTGAGTATCTCAGTGGATGCTGCTTGGACACTGGTAAGCTTAATTCACTTCAATTCTTTCAGTTCCTATTGTGAATCTCAAATATGTCCTATCATTTTACAGACATTGTGTTGCATTTTGTTTCAGTTTGGCAGCTTCCAGTACCGAGCATCAGTAATCTGCAGGCTAACAGGGGCAAGCAAAGCCTTGTGGTGAGCTGGCTGGTAAACCACAGCGGCATAGTGGGTGAAATTAATGAGATCCAGATCAGCCGTACTGAAAGCCACATCATTATTTACAATGTGAGTACTGAAGATTTTTTTTTTTTTTTGCCTGGAATTTCTTGCTGCTTAAAACCTCTGTTTAGTTAGCCTGTGTATATTCTCATTTGTCCAGGTCATGGTATCCTAAAGGAGTTTTTTTTTTATCAAAACGCAACTGGTCAGACCAGTCCCAGCCTGGTCAGATGCGTACACGAACTGATGAAGCCTCTTGGATGAGAGGTGAAACGTCTTCCCAGACAAATAATCAAAGTCCAGTTGCGTTTTGATAAAAAAAAAAAAAACTCCTTTAGGAGGCTCTGTTTAGTTACATCTCAAGCATTTTATGGTCGTGATTATCCTACTTTTAACTGGATTTTCTATGAACGATGACGTCATGGATAACCACCAACACAAACTCAAATGTATGTACTATTTTTCTCTGTTAATCTAGAAAAATGTCAGTGCACCCTCTGCAGATTCACACGAACACACATGGACATGGACTTCTGATCTGCCTCTGGAGTGTGTGGATCACTCGGTCAGGATACGATATTTCTACAATCAGACTGCCCCGAGTCCCTGGAGCAAATGGGTAACTAACTGTGGTGAGATGATGCCATTCTAAACCTTAATATTCAATGTGTATGAGTAAAACCAAACCAAAAGTATATAGAAAACAGATCTGTTTCCTGTGTACACTGTGTCACTGATAAGAACATGACATCAGATAAACACTAGCTTCTGTTTTCTCAGCAAGAGTGAGGCCACCATCCATTTTCCCTTCCCTTTCACCAATCTTTAAATTAGTGTTTCTCAACCATTGTACAACATGTTTTCAGTCATTGCAAATGCCTGATGCAATGTTAACTTCTATGCGTAACATTTTGTTGTATATAGTAGCCTATATACTTCCACACATCCAGATTTGACATCTCTCACTTTGTTGAGCATGTTTTACTAAGGTAGTGATGGTAGTGAGGGTTCAGTGGTTCGAGAACATCCAAGGGATTATAGATGTGTTTAGTAGCACCACTGCTCGTACGCGAGGCTGGTCTGATCCTCATTACTTTCCTCTGTGGCCTGTAGGATGTGAGGCAAAGGATAAGACCAGGATGTTCCCATTCCAGCGGGTGCTGAGAGAAGGCACCAGTGCCATGTTCTGCTGTGTTCCCCCCAGAGGAGTCAATATCACCAGCATAGCCTTCAAAAAGAGCCAATACCCTCTGATCAGCATCGGAGCCAGAGTCAAGGCTATCTCTGTAGAAAACCTGACCATCCCAACAACAGACATTAACGCTCTGTTACTCAGTTGCGGTGACACAACAGGCGAGGAGTACTCCGTCTGGAACTATGTCAGTTGTAAGTTTGAATCATCATTGTTTTTGTTTACATTCTTGATGTCCTTTTAACATTAATAATCCAAAGGTTGTTTTTTTTTTTTTACAAATATTTATTCATGTGTGTATCTGTGGGTTGTAGTTCCTGCCCAGAAGCCCAGAAACCTCAGCTGTGCGACCTCACAGCTGACAACTGTCACCTGCACCTGGGATCCAGGCAGATATCGACATCCACATGATCACAACAACCAAACCCGCACTCTTCACATAGAGTAAGCACGCACAATACCAAACACCCAGCATGTACTTGTACCTTCACGTACAGAATTTCAGGCATAGATTGCAGTGTTTTTTGGAAACGCGCTCAGCTACAATCAGGGAGGGTTATGCAAAACGATGGTGTGTGGAAGAGTTATTCTCTTAAGCACTTTTTTTCTTCCAGTTCCCTCTTTGATACGGCCATGTGTACGAACCTCTTTTGCTCTTTTCAAATTTTTTGGACTTAACTTGCCACCTGTAGTTGGATGTCTCGTGAGAATTTTCCCATCCCCTTCTCTGTTGTTGAAAACACAGGAACTCAGACCAGGCTCCCGTCAACTGCGAGCCGTCGTCTTGTACTTTTGCAGCCATCCCTAACTTGGAACAATACAACATCAGAGTGGTGGTGAAGGACCAGCTGGGAGAGGAGACAGAGAGCCACAGCTTCAATATCTCTGACAGAGGTCAGAGGTCACCCAAACATCTAAACAGAATATTGAATATACAGTGTATTTTGCAGCCATACTGTTTTAGTTGTGTTTTTAAAGCCCTAAAGACTCCAGCAACATTCATGAATGAATTTAATATGAACTTTTATCAAGTGTGTGGATTTCATGTGTGGGTTGCCGTTAGTGGTTCCAGTTGCGGAATGGGACAGAGTGAGCCCTGGGGTGGCAGACACCACTGTGTCCTGGATCATCCAAGGTAACTTGACTGGTCTGAACCTCATCTGTCAGGTCTCTGTAGACCCAGGCAGCACCACCGAGGTGAGCTTAACCTGGTTTAAGTCAAATATTCACAATGCAAAAGTGGAAGGTTTAGCGCATTTTTTTTTTTTACCCTCCTTCTGTGTGTTTGTAACAGTTAAACTGCAATAGTGCGAGTGGTCGCTGCAAATTCAAACTGGAAGATCTGCTCCCCAACACCCTCTACTCTACCAAGGTACGCTGCTCTGTCAACGGCAGGCTCTGGGGAAAATGGACACATGCCTTACCATTCAAAACCTGTAAGTACAAAAAGTGTGTGTTACCAGGATAGTATGTTGTATACAGGGTGTGGTCAAGTCCATTCCAAGTCCCAAATCCAATGAAGTTTGAGTCAAGACCATGTGTAATATTTCACACTGTTTCAGACCAAGACCTTGAAATGTTCCTCCTCAAATTCCATTTTCCTTCTTTATATATTCTTTATCTTCAGCAGACAAGTACACTGGTAGCAGAATTGAATGATCAGCTGATACCTATAAAACAAATAATCTTCATGTGGTTTCTTCAGGTCCGTTTGTGACCTTAAACTTATGGAGGAGATTAAAGCAGACGTCTGAAATCTACAGTCGTCAAGTGACTCTGTTGTGGACGCTGGTGAGAATCTAATCTTGTCTATTTTGGGGCAATGGTGCTCAAACACTTTGTTTGGTTTAATTGGGGGAATATATATCACCACAGCATGAACCTTATTGACCACCTCTGTTCTCAGAATGCTCCTGGCTCAGCAACCACTGAAACCGTCCAACGTTACACAGTCCAGTGGACGCAGGACGGCCAAAACAGGACTGAGAGGAAGGACGGTGCACAGACCCAGGCAGAGGTCCTCATTGGTCCAGGACAGTGTGACTTCACTGTCCAGGCTGTCCTTCACACTTGCCCCCCCATCAATGCTCACATCACCATCCCAAAGTTAGATGACAGAGGTGAGGAACACATTGAGTCATCTGAGTCTCTCTCAGCTCAGCGGTGATTATGCATAAGTGCTTCGTCTGTCATGTCATATTGCTAACTCTTCTTCTTCTTTTCGGTGTGTAGTTGATTTTTTGTTTTGTCGTTAGTATTGTGTATGCAATCGACCCTCACAACTACTTCACTACTTTTCTGGATGCATCACTTAGATATTTATTTTTGAAGCAAATAAATCCATTTTATCGAAATACTGAAGTGGTGTTAAATTTGTGTTTGTGTCCAGAGAACCTCCAGGTAGAGAGGCGGCTGAGCAGCAGCCCAGCTGGTGGTTTCAATCTGTCCTGGCCTGAGCTGAACACTGCCACTTGTGCTTATACAGTGGAGTGGTGCAATCAGGGAAATGCGGTGCCTTGTACTCTGCGGTGGATAAAGATGCAAAAGGGAAACCACACATTACTCCTACCTGCTAGTATGGTTTTGTTTTATTTCGTCTTCCTTTACTGATCACTGTAAGCGTGTGCTGTATTTGCATTCATTGTCATACACCCTTTATTTCACAGGCAATTTCAAAGCAGGTCGTAGGTACACATTTAATATCTATGGATGCACAGAAAATGGACACAGACTACTGGAGGTACAGACTGGATACTCACAAGAGCTTCGTAAGTGTTACTGGTTTATGAGTTTGTGCATGTGTGTGTGTGTGTGTTCTTGTATTAGGTGTATCTGACAACCGTATTCGTTCATGAGGTTAGTCAGTGTTTTACTGATAGAGAGGCTTAAAGCAAGTTCTAGAACTGGTGTTTCAACAGACAGGAAGGTCAGGCAGGCTTCTGCAGGGGAGATGAGGAAACTGCTCGTGTGGTGTGGCTATCAAGGTTTCGACACAAGATGTCTCCATCTGAGGCTCTAATGAGGACATTAGAGACCTGTTTGTCAGATAAGTAGCGGAGTAAGCAGAGAGAGGAAGGCCATGCTAATGATATTATTGATTGACGTCTGTGGACAGAACACCAGGTTTCATTTTTATAAGAAAATAACCCCAAAAGCTCTTGCAGCAGATTCTGACCTCGGCACAACAATGCAAGCGTGTGATAGAAAGTCCCTGTGGCTTTATATCAGTTCGGGGAAGTTCCATTGTTGACTGAAATCTGCCGCTTCTAATCGATTTTGTCTGGCTCTCTTTCTGAAAACCAAACTATTTTTTTCCCAGAAGCCGTACACCAACCGAGTGTGGTTAAACCTGTTCAGAGTACTCCCTCATCTGTGACACTGGAGTGGCATTACAATGAGGATGATCCTGCTCATCCGGCATTCATCACTGGTTACCTGGTTACTGTACAGGAAGTAGGATCTAATACGCGGCCAGGTCATATTGCAAGTAGGTGCAGAGGACAGATTCCAGTGTTGATAATTCTTGATCTTGATCTTTCTCTGTTCAAATAAATGCAAAGTATGACTGTTGTGAAAAATAAAATATTGGACTGAATTTCACACTTGAGTTATGATGACGCTCAGTAACTTGATACAAGGCATTAATAATCCTGTACACATTTAGATATGTTGGTGGAAGACCCTCGGAAGAAGTCTGTAATCATAGAGGATCTGAAGCAGGGCCATGAGTACAGGTTCTCTGTGAGCGCTCTCACCAAGGTGGGGCCTGGAATACCAGGCATGATCCCCTTCAGGACCAGAACCAACTGTGAGCGCCATAACATCCAGTGCAACTGTAGAGATACAACAATTCATCTAAATAAGTCCATTATACTATTGTTTTTTCTCTTGACCAAGAATCTTGACTAAGCATTCTCAAGTACCAGTGCACAAGCTTGAATTTTACTATTTGGTTGCGTAAACTGTTCATCTTCATTTTCCTCCACTAGACTCTGCTCACCTGGCCAAGATACTGACCCCGATCCTGTTACTGCTGGGCTGCACCATCCTCCTATGGCCTCAGAGAAAGATGTGAGTAACTTCATCTTTAAATCTTCAGTTAAACATTCATCCCTGAGGAAGACGACCCGCAGCCTCTCTCCCATCTTATCTTTTTGTGTTGTGTCTCTTCCAGGCTGAAGAGAGGGCTGAAGGATATATTTGTTTATCCTGCTGGAATGAACATCAAATCCTTTGAGATAGACGGCTTCCTGCATGAGGTATGGACACATTACTGAAACAGTCAAATGATGCACAACAAAAACAAATGCTATTTGCTAATCTTAAGATACATTTAGTACATAATAATTTTTTTCTTTTTTTTCTTTTGTGGAGACAATGGAAATATTAAACTATTTCAATGCATTTTGTATTATAACTCACATGGTCCTCCCTCTTCAGTGGTTTCGGAAGTGACAGTATTTTATTATTTTATTATATTTCACACTTTATTTTTTATCTGCATATTCAGGCAGCTCATTACTTGCATTGAAATAACCCATAAGAAAGCAATTCATCAATCGGCTTTCAAATTAAGTAAAATAACTTTATAATGCTTTGGTAAAGAATTGGTTTTAAAGCCTTGGTCTTGTTCCCATATTTTTGTTTTTCTGACAAGTGGCCACAACAACATTTTACTTTCTTCTACTTTTGTAGAAATTATTGAAAATGGCAAGATCATGTTATTTAGGGCAATGACCATGACCCCCTACAGATTTCAATTAAACAGAAAACATTTGAAATATTTGTCTTTGAGTCTGACTGACAGTCATTACAGAAAGTCGTCCCCCGGAAATCCCTATTGTAGCAAGCTGTACAGTAAAGTAGTTCAACTTCTGTGCCGATTCACCTGCCATAGTCATGCACACACACTATTTTTGTGTATGTTAGGACCACACATATGAACTTGCTTCTATTATCTAAACTCATGTAATTATTTTCCTTAAGTACATACATATTATAATCCCTTCTACATGTTTGTATAGGCTGGTGAAAGGGTGCAGTCTCACAAAGTGGAGGAGTGCATTAGCTGTGACATTGAGATACTTAACACCCGCCCTCTTCTGACTGAAGCAACCACACTGAGAGATCCTGAACCCCTGAACACACTGTGCTCTCCTGGTTCCCAGTCCTCTCCTTCATCCTTGTCAGAGCCACACAAAGGCTACTGTCCGCAGTCAGCAGAACTGCTCAGCGAGAGACCAGCTCCTCAGCAAATAACATGCATCACAAACAAGAGCTACTTTCACACCACGGTGGAGGATTTCTCTGAGCCACAAGAAGTCACAAACAGTGAAATCAAATCAACCTCTGAACCTTCTGATTGTCTGCAGGAATCATGTAGTGTTGTATCTGGTTATATCTCCAATGATACTTCATGAAGTCAAAGACCAAGCCAAAAACTTCTATGTCATTTATTTCATGACTGTATTTCAGTAGTCTGAATACTGTGAATAGATGCTTGGTGATTGTTTGATGGACATCTGCAGCTTTCTAATGTAAGTAAACAACGCCGTGTTTTCTCTGCTGCAGTAGAGTATTAAAATGAACCTGCAGGTGCTGTTACACGTGAAAGCAAGGGCACAGGTTTGGTCTCAACCTTGGTAGGGACAACCTCGCCACCCCTCCAAAAATAAAGAGATTTCTTATATTAACATATAAGATCTAGATTTACAATCAGGAATGCCCCTATGCAAATATAATATATGTACATGCGTGCATATATGAAATATATGTACATATATTTATTTGAAGTATAGCCTATATATGTAAAAATTGCATATGAAACCTGTTAGAAATTGGAACAATATCATATATTGACATATATGTCTAGCTAATAAAAACATGTATTGTAGTATGTGTTTATATTATACACGTTACATAGGCAAATAAACATCATATAGTAGGGCATAAAAACGTCACAGTATAGTAAGGCATAAAAACGTCACAGTATAGTAAGTTAGAAAAAGAAGTCATAGTATTTATCGTGACATTTTCATGGGATTTTTCGACAGCAATTAAACTCGTACTTTATGCAAATCTATGCCCTTGCCTGATAGTGTAACACTGTAAGAGGAACCTGATGTAAAGGTTTTTGCTTAAGTGTGAAACAGCCCGAGATCTTAATCTGCAGGATGCAAATGGTACAGCCGAATACATCAGGCGGAAGGAGGAGACAGGAGCGTGACAAAGAGATGTGTATCTTTTCTGAAACATATTTTTAGAAACTGTATTGAATTATTACATTTTATATATAATTTCAAAAAATCTACTCTATTGATATAACAGTTGAGAGAAAAAGAAAAATAAGAGGGAAATGTTGGTTCTTTGGAAACTGATTAACTAACTTTTTGACTAAGAGGTGAGTAGTGTGTTTTACTGTGATGAGGGTCTGACTCAAATATCAAAACATACTGGAATCTTTCACTTGAACAGATTACTCAGTGATACCAGAAGTCTCCTCCTACACGTTGTACACGTGTACAATGTCTGCTGACATTTCCTTCTACTGTTATGATTCAAATTTCCCAACAAATATGCAGTTCAGAGCCAGACATTTGTTGTCTTGTGCTGTTTCCTTGTGCATTTCTGGGTTGCCAAAAAGAAATCAGATTTTTGAAAGACAGATGGTTGTTTTAGTCATTTCAAAGGCATCTGAGGAAATCTGTGAGGTGTCTAATTGCATGTGCAGGTGCATGTGCAGCTTCATCAAGAAACACACATAACTGGTTTATAGCAGGACAAAAACTGTTGTGTGCGAGTATGATCTTTGTCATGCTCTGGGCAGTAATCCAAGTTAATGAATCACGCAGATCTTTTGAGATTCTGGTTCATGTTGTCATGTCAGTTCTGTAGATGCCAAATTTTGACAAATTCTGAGGCTTGGCGAGTCTGTGTTCACTGCAGCCTCAGGTTTCTGTCCTGGGCCGACAGGAGTGGAACCTGACGTGGTGAGTTACTGTAGCCTGTTAGCGCCAACCAATCTCACCATTCTGGCCTAACCCTAACCATTTACAGTGTAATCCATCCATCTATCATTTCAGTGTAATCAAAACTATTTGCATATCTGCCTTGACATTGTGACAAATGTGGATGCACCTAGTTTAATCATGATTGTACTGTTCAAAGGATTAGTGTCTCATTTATCAGTTTAATCCGCTGTCAGTGAAGTTATCTCTGCTCTAATGAATCCTGCATCATTTCCTCCAAACCACATTCCCTGCTCATTACTTCATCTGTTTGCTCCACAGAACTGGTTCTGAAAACATGTGTCAGACCTCTGCTGTGGCTGACACAGTCAGCTAATCAAATAGCATGTAACCAATAGCATATTAAGCAGGGTAGCTCAGTGGCTGCTGGACTGTGTCCCATTTATACAGGATGTGTCCATCTGGCCTGGGTGACCACTAACTGTATATGTACAGCACAGAAAAGCTTTCAAGGATTCAGCAGGTCATGAACTTGTATGCAGATGTCAAATCAGATAAGAACTTTTTTCATGTACACTCAGAGGAAGTTCATCCGTTTACTGCTCAGTTTCAAAGTTTCAGCAGAAATTCATTCAGAGAATTTGACTGAACTCTTTCATGATTCCACCAAATTGTGACTCAGTCCCTGATATAATTTTTCATTTACAGTCACATCCACTAAATGTAAAAAAAACACAAACCACAGTCTATTATAGCATCAAAAGACATACAGTAGTTACAACATCCTGAGTAAACTGAAAAAAAAAAACCCCAGATGACAACAAATGACAAATATAAAAACATTAAAATCAATTCCTAGATCTAAAGACTTTGTCCCAGAAATCTTTAAGAAGGAAAGACAGTTTAAAATGTAAATGGAAACTGCTGATGCCATTGCGTACTTCAGAAAATGTTAAGAAATTCACTGCGAGAATGGAGGACATTTAAAACACAGGTATGAAATATGCTAGGAAAAATCTACTTATACTAAATATACTAGAGTCTCTCTCCCTCTCTCTCTCTCTCTCAGACACACACAGCTTATTGGTCAGTGGAGCGAGCTGTGGCCGCAGCCGCCTCGTTCCTCAGTAGTGCAGAGTTCACAAAAAAAAAAAAAAAAAAACGGCTATCTGGCCTGCTACAAAAAAGTGTTTCACATCATCATGGCGCAGCGGACAGTAAAGCTGAGGGAAACATGTGACACATCCACTCAGTCGAGTCGAGTGGTCTGATCTTCGGATCTGTTAGGAGGAGGATCTTCTTCAGAGGCGTCCTGTCACTCTGGTGCTCTTCTCTGACTGGGAGCAAAGTCAAGCTCTCAGATTTTAACTTGCTGAAAAGACGCACCCTGGAGGCCACAGTCTTCACACAGAATCCCTCTGTTGTACTCTCACCCTCACCTTGCTGTGCTTTCTGAAAGGGAAACACAAATGTTGAGTGTTTACAAGACAACTACAATAAAATAGCAAAGGCAGTTTAATGTGAAGTGGGAAAAGTGCTGATCATGTGAGGTGATTTGTCTTTCTTTGATGAGCTGGGATACAAAGTTCAGACATGTGACACTAAAGGGCAGGTGAACGAATAGCTGTGTAAACAGAATCAAATTGAAACGCAGGCAAAATCAAGTTAGGGCTTGTGTCAGTTCTTTACCGTTGCGGCGGTGACACCATGCACTTCCAGAGGACGGCGTAGAGAGCGAGTAAAAAGGTGATGAACACTGTGGCTGCAATTGCACCTAAACCACAAAAACAAACACGTTTACATATGAAGTTTATTTGCACATGTAAAAATACAACGTAATACATGCATGTGCCCTAATGAGGACCAAGTGCAGTGTAGCATGATTCACTTTTCAGGTCAGCTCTTCTGCAGGGAGTGCTGCAGAAATCCTTTGTTTACCTGCTTTTTATTCTGTTGAGCTAAATCAATAAGTTCCTCCACAGAAAACAAAAACACTATGGTTCATGACTGCGTATTCTTATGCATATTTGTGCTCCTCATTTTCCTACCCATCGTCACTGCGCTAGTATACACCAAAACAATCCCCCCACTCTGAAAGACAAAACAATTGGCGAGTGTCTTTTCAGTGCATTGTGGGAATTTCTCCTGTCAGAGGCATTCTTTGACAAAAAAGGGAAAAAAGAAAAATCACCTTTCAGAGCCCCACACACTATGATCCTGTAGTCATAATATCATTTCCCCTTCCATATGTATAGTCTGGGTGTGGTGAACTGACACTTATTTCACAAACAAAATACAGGGTTTGATCCTGAACAGCAATGAGTTGTGTCTTGAAACAGAGCAGTAGATGGTAAACAGCCACCTGAGTTAAAGAAGTGCACACTGTAATGTAACTATATAACTTGTGTCATATGATCTTTTTAAGTAATAAAATCCTTCAAACTTGTAATAATTTAAGGGGAATCAAGGGGTTCAACTCCCAGAAATGCTGTGTACCCCCTTTTGATCCCACATCCGCATGCTCTCAAAGTGTAATGCTTCCCTATGTATAACAATATGCAAAAATCTATTGTGATTATTTATGGCAGATATTGTGCTTGCGATATGAGTTGGAATGGTTTCTGCATTTCATTATCACTGAATAAATTGATGTCGTCATTGTTGTTGGGGCTTGTACCAGCCAAGCATGTTTCTTTACATCTGGAGAATATGATTTATAGGCCGTAGGTCTCTCTGTAACAATGCTTCATTTATGGTATGCTGATACACATTTTACCTTCATCAAAAAAATGAAGGATATTGCTCTTGGCCATATTGCTATTTAGGTAATATTTCAATTCATTGTTAAGTGCTAATGGGGACGCATGGCTGTCTATATCCTCCCCATGCAAACAGAGGCATGGGAAACATGAGGGACCTGGTGTCACGAAAGTGCAGAAGTTCACTAGTACAAGGTTTGAATGATAAACAAGAAACATATATTGTAAATCACCAAAACACTGCTCGGAGACAAGGAACTGTGTGTTATGGAAGTGTTATTTTATTTAATGTGTATGACAAAGACACCGGCCTGTATTTTTGGAAAATAACTCCAAGCAATTTGATCAAAATCATAAGACCTATATTGCATTGCAGTTATACTCCACAAAGAACTGCCAGATAAAATATCTGACAGCTTGGCCGGCTGTTGGTGGGAACTTGACCCCCCCCCCCCCCCCCCCTTTACTGGTGGGTCTCGACTCTTGTATGACATAGGCGGTCTTTCTTTGTTAGCTGTTGACTCAAGGTGGTATATATTATAAATCAGGTGTTCTCCTTTGGAACAGGTCCTGGGTCTGTAAAGACATCAGATTTAGGTCAAAGTGGTGCTCACCAGGGATGATCCCGCTGGTCCTGGTTAGAGAGTCCTCTGTGCAGGAGGGACAAGGGCCAGCTGCAGCTGATCCTGCATGAGGAAGAAAAAAAGAAATATTTGAAAAAAATGTTAATATAATGTATAATTATATGTGTGTGTGTGTGTGTGTGTGTGTGTGTGTGTGTGTGTGTGTGTGTGTGTGTGTGTGTGTGTGTGTGTGCGTGCGTGCGTGCGTGCGTGCGTGCGTGCGTGCGTGCGTGCGTGCGTGCGTGCGTGCGCGCGTGTGTGTGCGTGTGTGTTGCATTTTCTTACATAACTGAGTCATTAATGAACAGAGTAGACACCTCATCACACGTCAACTAAATGACACCTGAAAAATATGTGGCTTTAGGTGCAGAACCTTTATTCCAAACCAAATTAAGCAAGCTTTTATTTTGTCTTGAACCTTTATTGAAACCAGACATTATGAGCTTGTGATGTCCAGTGTTTGTTGAAACTGTGTCAGAGTTGTGGAGAGTTCTGAATATTACAGTTCTGTACAGAGCAGTACAGCCACTTCTTTTGTCAGTGAGCCTTCAGGAGCCTGTTTGTTATGAAGATTTCCAAACGGTTAAGAGTTGCAGAAAGAACCAATAAGTTAACTCTCCCCTCTCTGGTAAATGAATTTACTACATTTCATTATATGTATTCTCTGTGTATCTAATAACCCATTTCACTGTTACACTTAGCAGTTTTGTCTGTGAGCATTGACCAGAAATGACTTTGTTGCATAAAGTATTGTATAAGTTTCCTTGATTTTCACCTTATTTCTACATTGAATATTTTTGTGACCAGTGCACTGTCACTTTGCACAGGGACAACTCAGCTTCTCTGTCACTTTCCCATTTATCATTTGCTGCTCTGAACTAAAAGTAGCACTGATTGGCACTGGCAGTCATCTAAAGCTGACATACATGCAACAGGAATTTACCTGAAGTGGATTTCCCTGTTTATCTGGTACTCTAATCTGAAAGCCCTGTTTGTCTGCTTCCATGTCTGATATCCATATGCACTGTGGTGCATACCTGTCCTTTCCTTCAGCCTCTTACTAGAATGAAACACAAGATACCAACTAACTACTTAAAATTACAATTATAGTCTAGCTGCAGTTTGGACCTCCCTGGTGAGCTCCTGCCAACAACTCAAGAAGAAGACAGGGGGAGGGGGGTGTAAAACTTACCATTGCTCTGCTGAACAGCGTGTAGAAGCTGCTGTGTGAGATCTGGGTCAACCATCTGAAAATGCAGCAAAACATTCATGTTTGAACAAAACATGTGGAGCAGAGGGCACCGACCGAACAGGACACACCAATGCAGCTCAGAAATGGCTCGTCTTGTGCAGGTTTCGCAAAAGAGCCACTTTTTCACCATTGAATTTCTTTGGAACGCAGAGCGAAGGAAAACAAGTTGCAGGACAGATCAGCAACAAGTCATGCTGCTTGGAGCAGGGGAGGGGAACTTGCTGCAGAAAGTCAAACAATGTGGAGAATCAGAGCTCTTACGGCAACGACAGACGCAAAGATAAGAAAATGTAAGTGAAAGATATTTCTAAAACATTTCCGTTGTGAAAGGACTATTTCCTGCAGCTTAAAAGCTGAGTAACCCGTTGCAAGTCCTTTTAAAAACTCTTCGAATCCTTCTCATCGCAACAGTTGTGCAAAAGTGAAGTAGAGTAGGACTGTATCCCGACACAAACTCAGGCTTGGATCGTGGTGGGTTTCTGCTCCTCAGGAAGCCTGTTTGCACTTTTAGATTCTTACCTTCGAGCTGTTGCCGTTGTCGACAACAGTCTTGCTCTTGTTGTTCACCTCCGTCCACATGATTGCTGAGGTTGTGCGGTGGGACTTCATCAATTCACCTTAGCTGCGCGCTGCGACCGAGACGCGCCTCCCGTGCTGCGTTCATGTGCTGCTTTTCGAACTCGTATTTTACATGTGGCGCAGTCAAGATCCTCGGAACATGATATTTTACTTATTTGAGGGTATTAAGATGATAGGGAAATGTTTTGTTTTTTTTGTTCCTGCTAATCACCTCTGGTTTGTGATCATTTGCAAGTTGTAATACCTAAACACACCTGGTTCTTCCAGTGACTGCGCGAATATAGTTACAACATTTCCTACAATAATAGAAGGGTGCACCGGGTTCCTCTGCTGACCTTCCTGCAGAGAACAGCCCTCAGTTTCCTGATTGAGGATATAGATATTACAGATAGGACTGTTGACTTCATGTTGCTGGACAGAACAAGTTAACCTATACATTGTCTTACAGGATATCCTTACACCTCACTGCCACCTTAGAAAAACAAATTCCACTTAGATACCTAGAACAATGAAGACAGGGCACACCAGAAGTTATTTTTCTGTTTATCTAAGCAAGATCACATGTTCTGTAAAGAGTCAATGTTTGAACAAAACAGTGTTCCAAAAATAAAATGTTAATACAGACAAAAAAAGAACAGTTTATTAACCGAAGTCTTTAAATTTTAAATTTGCAGACCACATCTGGATGAACACGTTTTAATGCAGACTGTTTATCACACTGGTCAGCAAGACCTGACCTGCAAATAGCTACAGCATAAATTCATAGATTTGACAGATTTTCAAATTCAGCACACCAACCGGAATTTTTGAAAAGAAATCAAAGAAATATCTCAGAAATAACCCTGGACAAGTTTCACATGGGAGTTAGTCATAAGAAGAGCATATACAAACGTCAATTACTGTCCTTTATGGGAAAGATTTCCATTTATTCTCTCTGCTTTAAAGAGAGACAACAGTCTGCAGAGATATTGCACAAATGTTTACACTGTAAAAGCAGAAAGAGCAAATTCTGATCATACACACGCACACACTAACACACACACAGGCACTCAACATCAATGCAGCCTGCAGATGTTGTATATCAGCAAATCATACACACACACACACACACACACAGCAGAAAGAGAGAGCAGAGAAACATCTTAAAATACACAACCAAAGGCATCTCTTCATCTTGAACTGATCAGCAGTTTCTGAAGAAGGAAATTTCTACCCACTCAGAAACAACACAAAGCAAACAGTACTCACAGTAAAAAAAAAAAAAAGTCAGCCAAGGAGTGTGGTAAAATAAGATCGTGATGTGAAATCACTCGATTTATAATGACATCACGCAACATGTCTGTTATGTCAGTTCAAGGGCACCCTGACTAGCACAAACTAAGAGGCCAGAGAGTGCAACAGCACCTGAGGATCCCCAGAATCACCTTAGTCATAGGATGGTAAAAGTGTCAGTAATCATAGGTTTGTAAGGTACAGATGAGCCCTGGACTGCAAAGGTCCGAGTGAGCTACTGAAACCTGCTTAAGTATTGTGTATTGGCTACAAGAGTGAAAAGCATGGCTACGGTGCGCAGAGTAAAAGAATAGCTTCCAAATCCTGTCTTGCTCATGAGATGACATGATGCTTACAAAGGACATGTTAGCCACACTGCAATAAGGCTGCATCTATGGTGAAACATCTTTCTACATTGTTTACATCTAATCTCCAACTTCTCATCAGCTTTAAGACGCATCATCACACAATAACACAATCACCCACAGTGGGAATGTTTAAGATTTCATTTAACACTATGAGACAGAGAAAAGAAAAGAAATCATGTAACTCATTCCAGTATAGCAAAGATATTAAAACAAAAAAAAAAAAGAAAGAAAATCAAGGTAAAATTCTGAGAGATTTTGATATCACCTATCCAAGCAGCCACTCAGCTGTCTTGGCTGACATTAGAGTTTTAAATTGACCTCAACAGTGAGGCTGAAACAATATAGTAAATAAACAGGGCCATCTAGTGGGCATGAACATTATGCCTGCAGGAAAAACAGTTTTGAGTTTTGAGGAACTGAACCAAAACAGTGACACACTGTATGAATTCACAAGATAAGACTGAGATTGTCAGAGTTGCCTTGAAGCAGAAGCAAAACCTTGGTTAATACTCTTTCAAAAAACAAACAAAAAAAAAAATTAAGATTTGAAATCAATCTATTAAGATTTGATTCAACCCGAATAACATTAAATGGTTTGAAGGTAACACATCACCAATACACAACGTCACACTATTATGTCCTCAGCTGGTATTGAAACACCGCACAGATGATTACCCTTTGAAAGGTTAAAAAGAATTCAAATGTTACTTCTTCCTCTGACCAAACCCCATCACTCCTTCAGCCCCCATCAGTCACAATCTGGATAGGATCCCGGATTAGACAGCGTCAGTTCTGTCCTTTGTGTTGAGAGCTGGTGCATGATGGGAGATGTAGGACAAGCAGAAAGGCAGAGACAGGTGTGTCCACAAGGACGAGGCAGCGACATCACATGATTTCACAGCACGAGTTCTGTTTCCGTGCCTGTGGGGTTAACATGGATACACACACGCACACAGTCAGGCATCTGATCAGTGACTGGCCAATAGCCTTGCTGTCCAGTGTTAATGAGAGGAGTTATAGTCCAATGTTAATGAGAGGAGCCGTCAGTACTCACAGTCTTGTAGAAGGCTTTGGACTGGTTTCCCAGGTGCTCCGACTTCGCCACAAGATCATCCAGTTTCTCTCCTCTTTCCAACAAACTTTCCATGGTGTTGTGCTACAGAAAAACAAAACATGTATTTATCAAGTAGAGTGCAATGTAAAGATTATGACTTGACAAGTGCTTGGGAAATGCTACATGTTTCAGTCATGTAGAGTGACAATTTAATTTGGTCAATAAAACCGATGCACTGATAACAGACAGTGGTCTGATTATAATTTCAGTGGTAGCTGAGGGGCCCAGACCTTAGAGCTGAGAAGAAACTGCTTCTTGCCCCCATCAGTTTACTTGTCCTATGTGTTCTGCTCTAATGGAAAACAGTGAGTAACGTGCATATATTTCAGCTTTGTGATTAAAGTGTTAGGTCACAGCTATCGGAGGTATTTTACCAAAATGATCTTTGTCTCATCCAGCTCTGCCTGCACTTTGGTCATTGCATCTGCTTCTCTGGGGTTCTGGAGGGAAAAAACAAAACAAGCGGTCAGGTACATGGATTTCGTTTTTAGTCCGCATTGATAGTCTAGTCACAGTTATGGGGTATCAGAGATCTCCTTTGATGTATTTTCTGATAATGTGATTGCCAACTAACCTGATATTTAGCTAGGTGAATATCTAGGGCTTTGTAGGTTATGGTTTCAGGATTACCAGAGGGCCAATCTATACTGTCCACTTGTCTGGAGAACTCCTCTAATACCTGAAAAAAAAAAAAAAAAAACAGATAGCAATCTCAATATTGAAGTTGACATCGAAGTGCAATTTTTGTTTGTCTTTATTTACATATTTCTGCACCCACCTTGTCCAGCAATGTGAAACAGACTCTCTGTGGGTACTCAGTATCTGCAATGACCACAGCTCCCAGGTTGTCATTTCTCACATACACATGGCACAGGTACTCTGAAAGGAAGAGAAACCATTCAGGCCACAATCAAAACAAAAGATAAAATGGCATTTCCTGGTCTCACGGTAAAGGTGAACTCAGAGCCTGTTGGTGCGCTTTGTTAAGAAAAGCAGAAGTAAAACTGATTGAGCTTCAAATAAAGCTTAACACTTTCCACCACAAGAAGACTGCAATGCATTGTGGCTGTGCTTTCCCTGACATCTGGCGACATCAGCTTCATATGGCATGTTGATAATTGAGCTTGTTTGATACTGAAGGCATAAAGTGGTGTGTTTATATGTTGTGGACCAATAAGAGGAAGGAAACATTTGCTTAGTTGCCAGCAAACAGAATTGAGTCCGATATTAAATGACAGTGAGAAAAATGGCAGTTTCCTGCTTCTGACTGTTAAAAGACATTGTTATCTGCTATCTATCCAGTATGAGTGGTCAACAAAAGCAAGGGAATTAGTGTTACACCAATGTGAAAGCAGCTAACAGAGAGAAGAAGAGGGACTCAGCGTGTTTACTGTTTGGTTGGTGTGATATTTCATTACTTCCAAGTTTAACAAACTAGACCAAACCCAAAAACCAAAAAAAGTGTTTCCAGGTGAAATTTCCATCAGCTTAACATTTGAGTCAAACTAGGTAAAATCAGCTTCAACTGAAATTAAAGTACACTACAATGATTGTTTCCAGTTCCAAGTGGACTCAACCTGCTAGGTTTTACCTTGTTCTTTGACAGAGGCACGGCTTCCTTGAGATGTTCGTTCAACAATCAAGGCACTGGTGAAGGTCATGAACTCCTGAACACTAAACAAACCAAAACAATGGCATTAAAGACATCCTATTTGCCAAGATCTAGAACCAATGTTACAGTAAAAGAGGAAAAACAAAGTAGGGTAAAATGTCGACGATAAAAACGTCATTCAGGTGTGGTGGTAGTGTACAGTCAGACACACCTGGAGCGCTGGAAGAAGCTGAAGGATGACAGGTCGTAGGCCGCTTTGAGGAGGTTGGCTTTGGTTGCTCCTTTGTGGAGGATGCTGAGGCTGTAGAGTCTCATGCTGCCGCCGGATCAGTCAGTCAATCACACACCGTCTATGCTGATCTAATTTGGAAGATGACACAAGCACAATCACATGAGCGCATTATCCCTTATCCAGCTCAGCCACATAGCGTCCCTGCTAACAAAGCGGCTAAAGAAAACTTCAGTGAAATACAACTGACAAGTGAAAGCAACCGCCTTGTTTAGAGCTAACAAGCTAACCGGCTACCGTTAGCCATTCTCGGCTGAATTGCGTTGTTTTCTCCTGGCGAAGGTCGATTGGTTAAATGCCAGCGACCGGTACAAATTTACCATATACTGATTATATTTTGATTGAGGTTTCAAACTCGTATACGTCTCTAAAAATCAAGTCAAGCACACAGTTAGCTACAGATGTTATCCGGTCTTCGTGAGGCCTCGGCTAACTTACCAGACAAATCGGCAACAAACAGTTTGAGTTTCGTCAAAACAACCGAATAAACTTCTTATTCCACTTAAATTAAACCTCTTGAGTATGTACAAAAGACGCCCAGCGATCTAATCACGATGTAGTTTGCGCTAACTTGCTAATTATCAAGAAGCAGTTGAGTGACCAATCACCACGTCACGATCCTCAAACTGTCCAACGGGATATCGGCTCCGGTGGAAACAAACACGCCTTGTTTTGTTCCAGTTGAACAAAATAAAATGAAATGTCATGGTAGTGTAGCGACGTATTTACGCAGTGTAAAGTATTTTAAGCTAGTGCAGTCAGAGACAGATCTTGCACACGTTGTCATTTTATTTTTCCTCTTGATATTGATTCGTTTAGCCGAGAATGACAAGATAAAACCATGATAATATAAAAATAAATCGCTATTATTATTATTATTATTATTACTAATGGTAGTATTAGTATTAGTATTAGGCCTAGTAGCAGTAGTAGTAGTGGTAGTAGTAGTAGTAGTAGCAGTAGTTAGCTATTGTTATCATCAGCTATTATTATTATTATTTGGCCTAAAAGTGTTGGGAGCCTTGTGAGTCCTGTAGACTGTTTTGTCTACAAAAACATGCCACCCTCAACTGATGTTTTCTTTGGTAATCTTGCTCCATTTAACAATTTCAGCCGGCCACTTAACTCAGTGGTGAGTGTTTTCCATGGTAGAAGTGTGCCTGTAATTCATTTCCAAGGCAACACATTGAAATCATTTTGGCATGGAAACGGGTAAGCCTCAGGTGCATCTGTTGACGGGTCAGCTACACCTGCAAGGGAAGGAATGATTTTTCTTTCCTAGAATAGTTTTGGTTGCATTAAGATATTGAAGTAAGAATGTCAGTGTGAAATTCAGCTACGATCTGGAGGTTGTCTTAATGTTTTTCTCATTTGTTTGTTGGCTTTAAACTTAATGTTTCATCGCTGGAACGAAAGTTTGGATGAGGAATTGACTCCACTTTCTTGTTTAACTGACTGTTGGAGCTGGGGGAACATTCAATGCGCACATGCGGATTAACTGGACCTGTTAACTGCAAAAATGAAGACTAAGCCACAGTTTTTACTGTTTTTAGTATATTTGCAACAATGAAGATGAATCCGTAGTTTGTTTTTTTCATGCGTTCTCCTTAAGATTGCTATCCACCTAGACCTTGAAAATACTGCAGACATATGTGTTTCGGCTGCTGAACATGATGTAGATCAAACGTGTTGGGAATATAATAATGGTTGGGCTGTTTCCCGCAAAAGGATAATTTTTTCTTTACACTTCATGCACGGACGTCGAGTTAAAACGACATAGCAGCAGGAACTTTGGATTTTTCACAACTCCTGGAAGAAACAGTGAACTTCCACTGCAGAGCACTGATGGTCGGCACGACTCTTAGGACTTAATCCTCTACGATGGATAAGGTAAAGACTAAAACGTTTTGTAGTTCATGAAAGTTTGAAGGTTGAATTCCTGATATCATATGGCACATTCTATGGCCTTCTTCTACTGGGGAGTCTATCTATCTATCTATCTATCTATCTATCTAGCTATCTAGCTATCTATCTAGCTATCTAGCTATCTGTCTGTCTATCTATCTAGCTATCTAGCTACCTATCTATCTATCTATTGACTACATGTTTTTGGGTAAAGTTAAGTAGCCTAACTACAATTAAGTAATTAAAGAAGTGAGTAAAACTGTAACTAATCATACATATAAGTAAGCAAATATACAAGTCATTGAGTGTGTAGGTACGGTAAGACCTCTGGGCCCATGGCTGCAGCATGGACCTCAATTCATATAGTTCAAGGGCGCTTTAAAAGATGTGCTGACACTATAAATGGAAGTCAGTCAGTAAGGTAGGTAACGTAGGTTGACACTTTAACAGAGTAAAAACAGAACATATCTCTTTCATCATTGCTTTAACTGGCTGCAGCAAATGTTCCAGCAGGTTACTGAGGTGAAAGCTTTCCACTTCATCAGGCTAACCTTATTAATGAATCAACTCATGTGGAGCAGCGAAGAGCTGTGACACAAATTCCTTGATGTACAGTATGAGGTAATATACCATAAGCTTTCAGATCTTTACATTTCCTTTTCCTGTAATCGAGTAACATGTTGGCTCGGTCATTTGCGTTGAGAGACAGCTGGCTGAATGGAAATCCATCAGGCAGGACTCTGTGCAAACAAGCCAGTAGGTTAAATTAACCAGATAATCAGCTATTGACAAGCACTTGGCACACATTCAACTCTTATCCATAAATGGACACAACGCAAACTGAGTCAGTCTTTTGTGTGTGTGTGTGTGTGTGTGTGTGTGCGTGGGTGCGTGTGTGCGTGTGTGTGTGTGTGTTTTGCACCATGATTGTGATGTTTAACAGGCCGGCGTGATCAAACCAATGGTCAAAATAGCCTTTAGACTACTAAGAGTTTGTCTTTATTAAACATTTCTTAGTACAATATTTTAATCCTGTTTTCCCCACGTATTCTCACCTGTGTTAGACCCAGAAACAATAGGCTGCACGTGTACACTGACTGTCACTGGTCATGGTCGCAGCAGCCCAGTAAAATTCAGGCTGTACATCTTCCCCAACACAGATGAAATACACATATATAAAACTTCCGATTTGTGTGCAAAATTACCTGTGATTACCCTCTCCTTTTTAGCTCATCTTTTCAACCCAACTGATCAACAGGTGGGTACATCGTTACAATCACATATTGGTCAGACACAGAACTTTATTTTATATCTAGCACAGGTCCAAAGGTTTTTTAAACATACCAAATACTCTATGCCAAACTAAACTTTGTGGAAATGAGTATAAGATGATGGACAAGACATCTAGAATGTTTATGGGTTTTAATGGTGAATCAATACCAAACATATCTTCAGATCTTCTGTTTAAATATTTTATGCAGTATAAGTATTATATAGATTCAATGAAGCACCAACTTGATCTTTTCAAAAAGAATTTTAGTATAGCGGTATATATTATACACAGTATGTATCTTTATCTCATAAATGTGTGTGTCTGTGGGTCAGTGTCACTATTTGGGTTCACTTAGAAATCCTCCAGTCAGGGCACTGGGTGAGAGGGTCACAGTTACCTCACAGCCAGAGGTGAGAGCTAAAAAAAGCTCTCACCTCTGGTCAGGTAAACTACAAGAGCTGATAAGCACAGGAGGCCTTCACCTCTGGTATACTATTGTTAGTTTTAGAGGTCATTCATCCCTCACTGTTACTAATATTAGACATGTTTCTAAATTTACAAATATATGTGCAACACTCTGGGGCCTCTGAGGTCGAGCAATCCAATGGCATGGCATGTTGCTCTTCTAAATAAAACATGATGAGTTCAAATCACAAGGTTCAGGTTCAGATTTATTTAATTTGTCCTGTTGGTGGGCTGTAAAATCTCAGTCAGTTGGGCTTTACGTCACAGGTCACACCTCACAACATGAAGGCAAAGAATAATTCACCAAACCAAATCTGAAGTCTTTAATGGCAGTTTAAAAGGACATCTGAGATAGTTCATATAACTTAACAGAGATGGGTCTTCAGTTCTCAACACTGAAAATTCACAGTGATTATTATAAGATTTTTTTTGTTGTTTTTTATGTAACCTAATAAGGAAAATCTCAATTGAAGAAAAGTCTCTTTTCAAGTGTGTTTAACAGCAGCTAAACTGAATTACAGACAAACAGCTTCCTTAAAACACATTACAGTAGAATGTTTTATGATAGGTTTAATGATCAATATTTGTAAACCCATTCCAAATCTCATCATTCATAAAACCAATATTTCAGAATGTAGTTTATTGGGATTCTATGGTTCATTTGAGATATTTATTTCAACAGAGGATTCAAATAATTTTGTATATTGAGTCATGATAAAGCTCTTGTACAAACAAGTTGTAGATTAGATGTATGAATATATATATTATACACATCCATCCAAATCCTCTGTCAGTTAATGACATGCTTTAATTGACCTCCTTGTAATAAAACTGACCTCTTTACAAAGCTTCATTCTAGAAATTAGGTCACACAGATTTTTGGCTTTTTTTTTCTTTTCTTTTTTTTCTTTAAACCTTCTGCAGAGGCCGTTCTTCTGCGTATGTGTGTGTGTGCGTGTGTGTACCTCTGTGTGTGTGTGTGAACCTACGTTGCCAGATGGGGTGATGTCGTGAGGGGGTGGGCATTTACGTCTGATGCATCCAGCCCACTTCACCTGAGCATAAAAACAGCTGAAGTTCTCATTCAGAGGCGCTCACACTTCACTGACTCTGCACACACACAGGGTGGACACACACTCACCACACACCTAGAAACACACGCAGAAGCTCATTTAGCTAAAGCCGTGAAGATGCCGTGTGTCAGCTCTCAGCTCTCTAACCAGAAAGAGAAGATGCCCTGTAGCTACAGCTCTGTGGTTGAGAAAATCCTCATGGTAAGATTTGCTTTTTTTTGTCTCCAGTGACGAAATGTAAACTTAACTATTAGTATTACTTATAGTATTAGTTGTATTCCTATGGATTTGTGTTTTTACCCCATGCGACTTTTCTGTGAATTAACACCAGCCTTTAAACACATACTTCTCCATGTTGTTTGAGAAGAAACTCTCAGTGAGGAGCTTGATTGTATTAAATATTCAGATATTTTGTTCTGTACTATATTGAAAATATGATCGCATGTGAACTCTGTAGCAGAAGTTAGAGTCTTCTCCACTTTATTGCAATGCTTTCTATTGTAAATTAGTATTTTTTTTCTCTTGTTCATTTGGTAGCATCTAACTTGTGTCTGCTCTGATTCCTTTTTTTGCTGTTACCGTGTTTGGTTTTCACCGCACCACCATTTGAAAATAAGTGAAAGCTCTGTTTCACAACACGGTTTGCCAACATTTTGTCCGGTGCACACGATGTGAAACTAAAGAAAGATGATATGGTTGCTTGTGCGGCTCCTGACCTGCTCTACTGTCCTCTCGTTGCAGGTAGAGCAGATCCTGTCAGAGTTCAGACTGAATAAGGAAGAACTAAAAGAAGTCATGAAGAGGATGCAGCGTGAAATGGACAGAGGACTGCATTTAGATACGCACGAGGAGGCCAGTGTTAAAATGCTTCCAACTTACGTCTGCTCCACCCCTGAGGGATCAGGTATTCTTCAAATAAACTCATGCAGATGTGACCAATATCTAATCTAATCCTCATTACTAGCTCAGGCAAAAGCTGGAACGTGCATTCAGATGCAATGTGTGTTTTGACAGAGGTAGGCGATTTCCTGGCTCTGGACCTGGGGGGGACAAACTTCCGTGTGATGCTGGTCATAGTGGGTGAAAATGAGGAGAGGAGCTGGAAGGTGGAGACAAAGAACCAAATGTACTCCATTCCTGAAGATGCCATGACAGGGACTGCTGAAATGGTCAGTAATTCTAGTGTCAACACGTTTTGATTTTTCAGTGCCAGTTATTTGTAGTCATCCACTTGATATAGGGTCTGGTCGTTTGTAAAAGCAGTGTTGACTTTAAACCTCTCAGAATGAAATAGGCTCTGAAATAATCTTATACCCTCTCTCTTTCTCACCCTGCAGCTGTTTGACTACATAGCAGAGTGTATGTCGGACTTCTTGGACAAACACCACATCAAGCACAAGAAGCTTCCTCTGGGTTTTACCTTCTCCTTTCCAGTACGACATGAGGACATTGACAAGGTTGGAAGTTATACTTTCAAACGATGACCTCCATCACCTTTTCCCCCAACAGCAAAGACTGTCTTTGATTCACTTTATTTGCCAGACACATTGACCTTTGTCCTTGTCTTTCCACAGGGCATCCTGCTCAACTGGACCAAAGGCTTCAAGGCTTCTGGGGCAGAAGGGAACAACGTTGTGGGTTTACTCAGAGACGCCATTAAGAGACGAGGGGTGAGTTATGTTCTATTACAATTAATCATTTGTAACAATGAACAAATCCAGACGGATGTTTAACACCTGTTTATGTAGAGATGACTGTAATTCCATTGTGATGTGGTTGATCTCATGCAGGAATTTGAGATGGATGTAGTTGCCATGGTGAATGACACAGTAGCCACCATGATTTCCTGCTATTACGAGGATCGCAGCTGTGAAGTTGGGATGATTGTCGGTAAGACGTTGTGCACACTCACACATGCTCATACGCACTAATGACATCAAACATGCGTACGTGTGCTCTCACCTCGACACTGCAGGTCTAAGGTCTGTATCTCTGCTTTTTTCTTCCTCCAGGTACTGGTTGTAATGCGTGCTACATGGAGGAGATGAGGACTGTAGAGTTGGTAGAAGGGGAGGAGGGCCGGATGTGTGTAAACACAGAGTGGGGGGCATTCGGAGACAACGGGGAGCTGGAGGAGTTCAGACTGGAGTACGACAGAGTGGTGGATGAGACTTCGGTTAACCCCGGACAACAGCTGTGAGTAAAAGAGTGCATGCAGTTCAAACACGCGTTCAAATTCTCAACAAGCATTTCACACAACTTTGTTCATCTTCCAACTTCATCTGCTGTATGCACATGCACATGCACACTTGAGAAGAGTTAGTCATCAAGCTTAAAGTGGTTTGGCATGAACTGTAATTTAAAAGGTGCCACTCCCTCCCTCACTCTCCTACTCTTTTGCTCAATTAATCGTCCTTCTGCGGCAATACTCACCTGACTCTCACCTGAGGTCTCTGCATAGTTGCTAGGCTACCAGCAGTTTTTTGTGAGGTTGTTTGTAAATGGCCAGAGCCCTCATACATCAGCGGTCAGTCAGTAGGTGCGGGGTGTCAGATTAATGATCTCTCTCCGCTGCTTTTCATAGCGCCTGTCGGCCTAATGGCTGTTTGCCTTTTGCACTGGAAGCCCCTTCACACAGACAACTGCTGAGCCCAGCCTCATTCAGCCTCTTAAAGCACTGACGTTGCCGCCCTCATCCTCTCCCCTTGTCTAGAGAGAGAAAGTTGTTTGCTCATGTGTTGCATGACGCACGTATCCTTCCTGTTTCGTCCCCCATTTCAACATCCTCTCTTGTGCTAATCCCCCCCCCACCCCAACCCTCTCTATCAATATTTCTCTGTTTTTACAGTGACCTGTCTCTCTGGCTCTTGCCTCCTGTAGATATGAGAAGGTGATCAGTGGGAAGTATATGGGTGAGCTGGTCAGGCTTGTTCTGATGAAGCTGGTGAATGAAGACCTGCTGTTTAACGGTGAAGCCTCAGAGCTGCTGAAGACACGTGGCAGCTTTGAGACGCGTTACGTCTCACAGGTGGAGAGGTGAGCGTCGATGAATTCTCACCTGGTACCAGCTATAGGCAGCTACATTTTTCAAAATAAATGCTGCCTATAAAAAAAAAATTAAAAAAAGATACAATATGATAAAAACTTGTACTACTTCCATGTAGACAATAATTGCACCTGCATGAGTTCAGAGGGAACTCTTTGAGCACTTTGATTTGCTTCACTCACGGTAGTTATCTGCAGTATTTTGAAGATGCTTTATTTAATCTTTGAATATTGAGTACAAAAGGAAAATATAATAAATATAAATAGTTGTATGTTCATTTTGCCTTTTGCCATGTTTTGCAGTGACACTGGGGACAGAAAACAAATCTACAATATCCTGTCCTCACTGGGTGTTCTGCCGTCAGAGCTGGACTGTGACATTGTGCGTCTGGTCTGTGAGAGTGTTTCCACTCGCTCCGCTCACATGTGCGGCGCGGGGCTCGCTGGTGTGATCAACCTAATGCGGGAGCGACGCAGCCAGGAAGCCCTGAAGATCACAGTGGGCGTGGACGGATCTGTCTACAAGCTGCACCCATGGTGAGGAATGCCTTGTGTTTTAGACTTTTGAATATCTTAGTTTCATGAATAGAAAATATAAAGCACTAAGCAAAAAAAAATATGCATAAGCCCGCCCTAATGCACAATGTTCTCTTATTCCTCATGGCTAACTGGCCAGATGAAGACAGCATGGCTTCACAAAGATTATTTCCAGTGGTTAACAAACAAGCAAACTAAAAAAAAGTCAGTTATCTGAAGTATCAATAACAGTAAATGAACCAAATAAGAATTAAGCAGCAGCACTGCACCAATATTCAACAGTTAGATAGAGTGACCACTTGTTGGCATCATATGAAAGTCGCACAATCCACTTTACCGGAGCAAAGAAATTAGACAATGGAATGACTGCACAATGCACAGATGAAGATTTGACTGATTCCGAACACTGAAGATGTTGTTCCTCCATCTCAGTTTCCGCGACAGGTTCCACAAAATCGTCCGGGACCTGACGCCTCACTGTGAGATCACCTTCATCCAGTCGGAGGAAGGGAGCGGTCGTGGAGCGGCTCTTATCTCAGCGGTGGCCTGTAAGATGGCTGCAAGCATGCTGACACAATAAAGGAAGCCGTGCACTGAGCAGTCTACCTGCAGGACAGTGGTGAAGTAAGCCTGAACTCTGATCTGAGAACACTGATAACATGTCGTCCGCGGACCTGCAGCTCAGGCCGTTTTCAGGCTCTGAGGGACGTGTGTCAGTAAAGTGGAGACTCATAGCTGGCGGATGTACGGACAAGAAACAGCAAACAATTTGTATTATAGACTGTATTTGCTAGTACTGGACCAACTTGTAGCAATTACTTTGTTTCTGAACTTTAAGCATTGGTTTACTGTTGTACCCAAATCATTAGGTGGCATGAACGCTCATTTAAAAATACATGCTCCTTGTGCATCACTGCCTGTTGATAGTGTTTGGGTATGGACTGGTCCATTTCAAAAATGGCTGATGTATTATTAATGATAGTGTATTATAATACCAGAGCAAACTGGTTGATGTGCAACACTAGGATTCTTTTTGTAAATGCTATTGTAAACTACATTATGACTACATCAAATCCATTGTTTTGTTGTGTAGTAATTCCTGTTTGACCTATTTCTTTGGTATCGTATATTTAAATTTTATGTTTACAACTCAGTGTGTGTTAGCAGGTGTATGTGTATGATGAAATGTGCTTTGGGTGTGAATAAGCTTACCTGTAAATAAAATAACAAACTAAACAGCTGTAAATTTATGTTATTGTGGGTTTTGATTGTCAGTTTTGACAGAGATTGAATGTCAAAGTCATTAAAAGCCAAAGTCATTAAAACACATGGAAACAGCACTAACAACCAACAATGACAAAACTGAAGCCAGTGGTGTCATAGTCCTGTTAATGAAATATAAGCTACGAATATAAGCTGTGAATGTAACATCTTTCCTTTACATGCAGCAATTAATATGGTAGATTTTGTGCTTTCATTACAAGAACACACTGTGAAATGGATCTAAAACGTTAAGATTACAAACAAAAAGATTAAGATGGTTTCATTAATTTACAACATTTTAATTTTAATTTAAAAAGAGAGAGGATAGAAACTCATCAGAAGGAGTCCACACATGTCTCTCAGTGCATGGGAGACCCCTGAGCTTAATATGTCTCATTTGCTGAAGGAAATTATTGTATTAAGGCTTAAGGTTTGCTGCGCTGCATCACACAGTGCTGTTTCTCAAGTCTCAATAAAAGACTTTATTTGACCACTGAAGAGTAACTTCATTTGGTTGAGTGACTTACAAACGTCAGAGGTCACTTTCCCCTGTCTCCTCTCTCCCTTTCTGTTCCTCATATCTCATATCTCCTCATATCCAGCCCAGAGGAATCCTGGCTGCTTCACCTCTTATCAGGTCCCTTTAGCGACACACAGAGAGCAGCCGTGGCCATGTAAGGGACTGTGCTGGCCACCCCAGGCTATTATAGGATGGTAGAAGATAAGATGGGCCATACATAAAACCCACCCCAGCATCACACCTCAGCTGGGAGTCCACATAACAATCGTTCAGACATGGTAAGTCAGTCAGCTCCTTCAGGATTTTGATATTTTCAGTCAGTCATTATTTAAAGAAAACCGATCAGATAATTCAGTAATCTTATTATTGTGTTGTGATTAGGTTATTGTGTAGTTAATCATGAGCAAAAAATATCAGCACGTAAACTAAGTGAGTTTGTGTTCATCTTGTCAGGCAAGTAAGAAGGCCTCCAATAAGAGACAGAGGGGAGGACAGAAGTCTTGCTCCAATGTCTTCTCCATGTTCGAGCAGTCCCAGATACAGGAGTTCAAGGAGGTACAGTACTAAAAACTCTTCTTCAAGGAAATGTGTGTAGGAACCTGTGATTTTTGAGAATATTTTAGCAATTTACCTTCTTTAGTCTCTGATGGAATGATTGGAGTGGCCTTATAAATTCACTGCGCGAATGAAACTTATATCCCCATTGCATGCCAGCTTATTTCATGAAAAATGTTTATTCATTTTAGAGCTTGCTTCAGCAGTTATTCCTTTTTGCACAACCTACATTATGTTCATTTCAACCAAGAACTAAATTTGACAATATTCATGATAACCATGATAAGCTCTGGCTATTCTTGTACTGAGCAGCTCTTTGTGCAGCAGGTCTTATAAAAGATCAATGCAAGAATTTCTTACTTTAATTTCTAGCAATAATGAATAATAAAGTTCTGATGCACCTTGTGAAGAGCAAGAAAGAAAAGCATTGAATACAATTCAACCAACATTATTACACCTGGTTGAGGAAGAAATAATAACTGTGAACTCACTATCATTTTAGTCAATGATAATTAGCCTATACCGGCACTGGTTAAAACTCGTATTTGTGCTACAGGCTTTTGGCTGCATTGACCAAGACAGAGATGGAGTTATCAAAAAACAAGACTTGAGGGAGACGTATGGACAGCTGGGTATTTTCTTTACCTTTAACTCTTTATCTTTTTATCTTTTTGATCTATTAATATATGTATACCTAAAAAATAAAAAAGGTTGTGCTGATGTAACCTGCTTTTTGCATTGCATTTGATACTGTATACTTTTTTAAAACTGATTGTGTGTGCATGTGTGTGTGTGTGTGTGTGTGTGTGTGTGTGTGTGTGTGTGTGTGTCTGTGTGTGTGCGTACCAGGGAAGCTGAATGTCAAAGACGAGGAGTTGGATGAGATGTTGAATGAGGGGAAGGGCCCCATCAACTTCACCGTGTTCCTGACTCTTTTTGGGGAGAAACTCAATGGTGAGAACTTTTCATAGATGTTCAAATACATTTTTTTATTTATTTATTTTCAGGACAGGCTTTCAAATGATACTGGATGATATTTTGTTTTCCTCCAGGTACCGATCCTGAAGACACCATACTTGCTGCCTTTAAGCTTTTTGATCCCAATGGGACGGGCTTTGTCAATAAGGATGAGTAAGATCAATTTTATTAAGGAGCTTTCACATTATCATTATATTTTCCATATTAGCTGTAACATTAGAGTATCTTATTTATCCCTCCTTTTACACATTCTTCTGTTTTGTATATGCAGGTTTAGGAGGTTACTGATGAACCAAGCTGATAAATTCTCAGCAGAGGAGGTTTGTGTTTTCTATTTCTATTTTTCTATTAATGAGAGACTTTCAAAATATCCCATAAAATAGTCATTTTCACCAGGTAAATTGTCACTTCATAAACCTGTAGGTGGATCAGGCCTTTGCTCTCGCTCCCATCGACCCAACTGGTAACATCGACTACAAGTCGCTCTGCTACATCATCACACATGGAGATGAGAAGGAAGAATCCTAACAAGGGCCATTATCTGTGGTCAGGTCATACAGGTCACCAGGCAGCCCGATGATGATGATGGTTGTCATTCAAATTTACGAATGTTTGATGGAATAATGTTGGAATTTCTTGATTCATTCAAACTCAACTGTTCAATGGTTATAAATGCTACAGTTCTGCTTGTGTTAAAAACTGGCTGATTTGTTTATGAGAATAAAGTGTTGGTTCCTCAAAAGCTTCTACGATAATTTCAAATGCTCATCCTGTTAACCAACATGATTCTAACTCAAGTTACATATTTCCTGAGTTGAGTTAAACTTATTATTATCATTATTATTACATAATCAAGGACAGGATTTTAGCAGATATTTATTTACTGACCTTTTCAGTGGGTGATGTTCAGAGTTTTTAGTCCTATTCTATGTGCATATCCACATACGACACTTCTTCTGTATATCGAGAGATAATGTATGGGTAAACATAAAAATGTATGTTCAAAGGCTGTTTGTACTGGTCAGTAAAAAACTTTATGATACAAGATTTTCCACACGTTGCTTGTAAAATCATATTGGACTATTTCTAAATGTTTTACAGTAAAGTAAAATAAAGTAAAGTTACGTAAAGAAGATGTCGGTGGATCAGTGTTTAATTCAAAGTGGGACTGTTCGGACAGGTTGTCTACTTATTAGTGTTAATTATTTTGCAATATAACACTGCAAGATTTAAATGCTTAAATTATAAGTAATTAAAGTAAAGTAAGTAGATGTCAGGGGATCCATCACATTCACCTCACTGGCCTCACTGCTGTTCCATTCTTTTGGGACACTGTTGCCATGGATATAACAACAAACATCCCCATAAACTCCACAGCCACATTTTCCTGCTCAGCCAGCAAACAGCCGGTGAACAACAAGAAGACAAGGAGTGTGTGAACTTCTGTAAAGGCAAGGCTCCTCTCTCAGCAAATTTGCTCCAACAGCAGAGTTGCATCCAAATGACCGTGAGTTTATTCTTGATCTCTGAAATCTGTAGTTCTGCTGGCAGAGATGCCTGTTCCACCTGGAGTTGCAGGCAGGGTGGAAGTAAAACTAGACCCAAGCACGACATGGACACCAGCTGTAGTGAGGCGGAAACCCAGACCTGCCAACAGGAGTGGTGACTCCTATCTGCAACGGTGGGTAGATCACTGCACACGTACTTTGTGAACGATCATTGATTCACAATGTTTGACACAGAAATGTGTGTTTTCATGTGGAGTGGTTATATTATCTGTTCATTTTGCCTGATGAGACTGATGTTGTTACTATAACCAACCAGCTGACGCCACTGCAGGCTGATATTATCCTGGAGACAATTTCCAGTAGCTAAATTGGCTACACATAAATGATGAAAACTAACACACCTAGTTGGCTAAATTCAAAATTATAGCTTACAAGAAACAAAACATATAGTTTGGGCTGCTTTGAATGTGGAGGCCGTTGTATTCATTGAGGTAAAACCACAGAAGATTTGTTACAGAGCAGCTTTATTGGGTTTTATTGCTAAGAGATAAAAGCAGCTTCATTTAAACACTGCCTGAGTGAATCAGCAGCAACCTGTTTGTCATCTGAACTGTGCAGAGGGGAGACGCAGATGTGAGGCACTAATCTGGCTCATAAATATTTCACCATACCATTTGTTTCTCCCGGCTGGGTTAATAAAAGGAGGAGGCAGGAAGTCACATTTTAAGGAAAGCATGTTGCTGTAAATAAATAGCACTCAGCTGAGTTTCTTGGCGATCACATGTAAACGTCTTTTCACTGTTGATGATATTTATAGATACCAGGAACTCCAACAGAGCAAGAAAAACCAAAGAAACATATCGCGGGTGAGTACTGTCAAGTCGAGGCTCATGCTTTAAAAGCTGCCGTTCACAGTGTGGTGCGGTGGCTGTCATTCCTGTGATTAAGGGATGTTTGTTTTGTTTTTTTTACACAGAACAGGCAGGACAACACAGATCCGAGGGATAATCCTAAGAATGATGGTGAGACCGCCGACCATTCAAAATAAAAGAAATGTCAGGATTGTGTCGACATTCACACAGTTAAAGTAAGTGAACTTTAAACAAATTCTTATGTCATTTGTTTTAAGTGGCCAAAGAGGAGGATCCACCGAAAAATGGAGGCATTGAGGATGACGCTTCAGGAAAACCAACCAGTGAAGAGGGATCCAAAAAGTCTCGGCTGTGTGTTCTCCTTTAATGACGTCGCAACTCATGCGGACATTTAATGAACTGGGCTCTCACACGTAACATCATCATGTGTTATTTAAGTGCCAAACCATCAAACCCTTGTGCTTCTTGTGTCTCATGCTTTACCTTTGCACATCTGTGAAGAAAGGGGTGAGGGGTCAAAGGTTACCAAAAGCAGTGTGAAAGCAGTTTCCTTTTTGAAGAACATAAAACTAAGCTATAAATATATCAGTATTTAACACAAAGTGGGAAGACAGTTTGAACAGGTTGTCTTTTAACTGAAATATCTCATTATATAAAGCCCATATTCAAATGGCTAAATCATAATTATCAGTATTTTTGTATCGGTTTTACTAAATAATCATGTTATGTTATAAAACAGTGCAACTACAAAGATTTCCAGGTTCTTTTTGCTCTTGATAATAATCACACTTTGGGTATTCAATTCATAAACTAAAATTTATTTTTTTTTAAAAACAATGAGCAGCCCATGAATGAGGCAGCTGACTGTGAGAATAGAGACATTCATGAATCCAGTTTGTCTACCCAGTAGCTTGTCTGCAGTCACACATTTCATTCAGGGCATTTTCTCAGCATTAATACTCAATCCTAACAGTAGATATCTTAAAGCAGCAATAAAAACAAAGAGCTTTCCCTTTTTACAGTCAGTCTTTTCCTCATAAAGGTCGATATTGCACTTGGATTTTCTTGTAATCACTAAGACTCTCCTCCTTTTAGCTGTACCAAAGTTTTTCACAGTGTTCATTGAAGTCCACTTGTCAGTGCTGTATTTCATATCAGGTCCAGCTAATGAGAGCATGTTAGAGGAGAGAGGCTTGCTTCCAGTGTGAATCCTCCACGAACAGGGCAGGGGGTTTGTCCGTCACACCTGTTGGTGGGTCTCAGTCACTGTTGCTGCTGCTGTCGTCTCCCACCACCATGCTGCTGTACATCTTCTGCTGCTGCTCTTTAAACGTCTCCTTCACCTTTGCTCTCTTCAGGCCTCCGTCCCTGCAGAGGCAGCCAGGTGGAGACCGGACAAACTGAGAGCGGTGCCGATCAATCGAACACATGCAGTAGACTGTATGATCACTGTTAATACTTCACTTTCATGAAAAAAGGGACTATTTTTTGATGATTTTTAATGTCTGATATTTGATTTGATATTTGAAAAATATCACTCTGTTGGAAACTCAAAATCTTAGTTGATAAATGGTTTTCTCTCACAAGCTCTTATTACAATTACTCGTGTTAAAGGGCAGTGGGTCAGTTTCTCAGCCTGTTTTATCCATTTCAAGGAAGAAAAATTCACCAGACAAAAAAAAAAAAAAAATCACATCTTTGAGCAAAGAGTTGAAGTCTTACCACTGCAGATCTACCAGCCCTCCCTGGTGAGCGATGGCTGACTTCACTCTGTTGGCAAACTGGACAGCGTCTTCCCCCTCCTGCCATTTTTTTTTTTTTTTGAATAAACAACAAACTCAGTCAGACATGTGTCTCTGTGTGAACATACGTGGAGGGGTGGCACCTGTGGGCTGTACACGTGGGCTTATGCATGCGTGTGCTCACGTGCTTCAGCACATGTCGTACACACCTGCTGGTGCATGGCTGGTAGGTACCAGACATTACAGACAAGGGCCCAGCTGGTCATCATCCTCAGCAGGTAATTAACCATGCTGTACTTGGAACTGTTCCAGAAAGCATCTCCAAACTTTGGGTCATACTAAAAAAATTCAAAAATGCAAATAGGTGCAGTGAGGAACAGTAATATATGAGTCAGAAGGTTGGGGAAAAAACTCTGAATGAGAAATGGGGCTGACTGTACCTTAATGGCTACTGGATATATAGTTGCTCCAATTTCAAAACTTCCCTTTTTAAACATCATGACGGATGTGTTGTTGACACAGGTTCCTGCAGAAACCAGACATCAGCACATTAAAAGGAGACTGAGCTGTGTGAGCTCTGTCCAAACCCACATGAAGTAGCTGCTCATTCGTCAGCGCTCAGTGGTCAGACTGCCACCAGGCACAGAGCTAAAATAACAACACTGGCTGAGTCTTATCTTTGATGATACAAAGACAAACATCAGACTGATGTGGATAAAGTAACTCTGGTCACACTTACCCTCTGGAAATATTAATATGGGAAGCTTTGTCTTGTCATTCACATGATCCTTCAACCTGGAAGCAACACAAAGAGGTAATGGAAACATTTCCTGCACCTTTGAAGAGTTTTTTTTTTTCACATTTGGGACAACACATCAAACATCTGGAACGAGCGTCTGGGAAAAGATGAGATTATGAGATACTGGGATCCAAACTGTGTTCAGTTCAGAAGAAACTTTTCCAAAACATATCTGTTCTTGTTTGGAGCTACAGAAACTCTAGAGGATTTTTCTTGCCAGGAAAATGCCAAACCTCTCTTAGTGCCCGCAGAGAAAACGCAGGCAGGAAAGACATGCAATGACAAGCCTGAAAAGATGTGCTGAAGTTACAGTAAGAAGTGCAATACCCACCTTTTGGTCACTAGGTGGCGATCTTTCATCTCTGCTCTCTCAAACCAGACATGAGGACAGGACCTCACCATGGCTCTCTGAACAACTCCCATCAGCCCTCCATGGACCTGACCCACCTGAGAAACACATTTGAATAATTATGGCAGCACATCATGATTCAGCATGTTAAATGACCTACTATAAGTATTTAAATGTCACAGTAAAAATACCATACCATAGCATAACACCCGTCGTTGCAGAGAATCACAATGTCGATAGGAGAGGTGTGATTAGCGACACAGAGTCCTCCTTTTTTGGGTTTATTTTCCCTGCAGTTGTGAGGAGAAGACACACAGTCAGAATCAGGAGATGAAGATATTCCTGATTTTGGTTAGAAAGATACTCGGTGAGCAGGTTCACCTGTTGTGATAGCAGATAGTGGCAGAGAGTCCTCGAGCACAGATTCTGTAGCACATGACATGGACCCATTCACTCAGCCAAGACTTAATCCTTAAAATTGGGAAAAGCAAAAACAAGCACAACTGAGGGGGGAGCCAGCGAGAAAGTGTTTTAAAGCAAAATGTAAGGTGCACAAAATTATTATTTTTGGAGTAGTTATATATTGTGGTTACTTTGAATTTGGAAGTAATCCAACTGTAGATGTTCCTATTACCAGCCAGCTCAAACCAATGCAGGCCAGTAATATCCTGGAGAGAGGAACACCTTCAGTTTTCAGTTTACAAACAGAAACAATAAAAACTCACACACATAATAAAAGACTGAATGGTCAGACAGGCTTTTTTAACCTTAACTTGACTGAATTCAAGAAATACTAGATGCATGGTTTGATGGCAGATATTACAGTAAACCCACTGGGCAGAGGCAAACATGCAGTTTTTCAGTGACGGTAACTTCTTCCTCTACTACACCTCGCATTTTTGAATGTGCTTCAATCTCAGCGCAAACATGACATTATTTTTCACCAAGACAAAGAGTACTAGAGCTCAGCCTCTGACATTATTTCTGTTTCTCTTATTTCAGTGCTGCCTTTGTGTGACTAGAGCTGACTAACAGCTTAATGTTGCAGTCAGCTGGTGTACCTGAGCGGCGCGAGGATGCAGTATCTCACAAAGATGCCGAGGCCGTAAACCAGTGTCAGCCTCAGACTGATGTACTGGAAATCGTTGTTGGTGCGAGTGAGTAAGTTCCAGGACACCAGCTCCTCTGATGAGAACCTCTGGGTCACCTGCATTTAAACAAATGAAACCAGATCACTCAACAAAATCACTTATTTCCACTAACGTAACAAATTGTGTCTTGCTGATAAAATAAAGACTTACCTCATCCTCCACGATGCTCTCGATTCCTTTCCGGGTGAAATAAAAACAGTCACTAAGTGTAAAATCACCACCCACTGGTGGCTTGGGGCGACTGCGTCTAAGTTCCTCTAACTCTTTCTCCATAGAGCCATCTTCCCTCTCGATGAGACCTGCTACACACACACACACACACACACGCACAGTAACAGATTCAAACTCAGTCAATCTGTCATCTGATAAGAATCACTATCTGCAAGACAATCTTGCTAGAAACCAAAACGGTTTGAGTCACCAGAGGAAAAAGCAAAGTTTGTTCAGGAATGCAAGTGTCATAGTGTATATATACACATATATATACAGGCATATAATGTACTGTAAATATATAATCAAAATATATAATGCTTGTTATACCAAATATATAAATATATATATATATATTTATATATTTTGTATAACAAGCATTATATATATATATATATATATATATATATATATATTTGGTATAACAAGCAGGTTCAACTGTGAATCTCAGCAGGACATACTGGCACTGATCAGAGACCAGATTAAATATTTCATGGATAGTTCTCAGCAGAACTTTTCCAAGAACTGACAAACTGTAACAATGACTCATCTTAACTGAGAACTGAGCTGTTCAGAGAGCGGTCTTAAGTAACGAAGGCTGCAACGCCTATCCACCCAACAGGTCTGAGAACAGTTAAGAGTTGGCCTCAGCTTATATTATCTGATAACTCAGTGGGCAAAGTCCAAAACCTAGAATGCCAAACTCTGCATTCAATATTCAATCAGATTTTCTGCACGCAGTCCTCCTTATCTCTGTTATGAAGCACTTTCACTACTTGTGTTCGTCCTCCACATTTAAAAATGTAACACTGACATACTTTGAACTTTGCAGAGGCCACACTTTGCTGGCATGACTAACATCTTGATGTGCTACAGGAGGAGATATCACCCTGTGCAGCTTAGCGACTGATAAAACGTTGTGTAATTGCGTCTTGTAAGATAGCCAGCGTTTGCAAAGCAGCTTCACCTTGTTGCTCATAAAAAGTTATCAAGTCAACTGAGTCCTGGTGCCAGACAGAGACTGCTGCACGCACAAGAAGAAATCCTTTAGCTGAAAATCAAACCTTCTCTGTGAGGTCTCGGTGCTATTATCATGTTTGCATTTTCTTTATCCAGAAAAACTTTCTGCACTCAACATGTAAAACAATGACTCTTTTAAAAACCACGTGATTTAATTGCAACACGCTCATCCAGATGTGTAATAAAGTATGTTATGAAATCCAGTATTGCAGCTCAACTCATATGCCACTAAACCCCCGTCTTTCACAATAAAGGATATGACAATATCTTCTCTAGATGAGCACTTTTGTATTTGGTTTAGATCTATCTATCTATCATTCTATCTATCTATCTTTCTATCTAGTAGTTTTCTACTCACCGTTAGATGCAGAAGCTTTCAGTATGTCATCTGCGTTTGCCTTCTGTATCTTCAGAGTGGCCCACTGTAGAGGAGGACAGACAGGAGACATTCATGGCCATGTCTTATGTGGAGCAATGGATGAGAATCTGAATATTTGTTTCAAGGGGACATCTGTGGGAAGAATGTGACTGACAGTACCTCTAAAGTTTTGACCAGGATGGTCATGTAGGTCTCAGAGATGCCCAGTGAGAAGCCAAACATGGCTGGGATCATGATGAGGCAGACAATGAGGCAAAGCCAAATCTTCAGAGCCCAGAGGGCCCCTGACCAGAAATCCTCCATCTCCGCCTAATTCCCTGAGGTATATGAGTGCAGCCCTGTGGCTCAGCTGTAGTGTAGTCCTGTATGTAGTGAAAAAAGGTGTCATATGTTTTCACTATTGTCAACACAAACAAGACAGATCCACCCTGTGTAAGACTATCTGTCAGTATTTGAAGGTCAACAGCAACCACAATGACAAAGGGAGCAAACTAAAGTAAATAAAACATTGCAGTTAATTTAATCAGGAGGAAAATCTCGACAGGTCACAGTACACTTCTCTCTCTCACACACACACACATACACACAGCACTGAAACAGAGACGATCACAACCACACTAACTCCTGCCAACATAAACAACTCCATGAATAACCAAACTATGAGAGAGCTTTCCAATAATAAGACTACAAGAGTTTATTCAAAACGGTATCATTTCTTTTAGTTTTCTACAAAACAAGCGGCTTCGTTTTAAATCTACACCGACTCACCTTACCTGTCAAACTTCAGTCCATGTTCTCACTTCCTCAGGAATAACTCAAATGAGAGAAAACACGCCCGTTTACTACTGGAACAAAGTTCACAGAGGTGCGTCCAGCAGCGCCTCCTGTGGACAGAGCGGGAACCGCAGACACGTGGACCTCAGATGGATTCCAGCAGGACTCAACAGTCCCGTTTGGTGAGGAAAATATTTGGCTTATTTTTGCACAACATATACTGGACAGTGGGAACTAACTTTTAGCTAAAGCACTCAGAGTTTATTCAGCCAATAAAAATGTGTAACTGTTGACACCCCATGATACCCCTAAGACTTTCTTCCAATAGCCTACATACATAGGCTACCTGCTGGCTATATATGATGCTTGAATTACAAAGCACATTAAAACCTGAAAGTCTCACTTCAGTGGAAGAATTTTGACTTTAATTTCAGACATTAGAGATCACTGTGATTGTTTCTGATGCTGTTTGTCTGTGCTTGTGTGTTTCTGTGTTTTATTGTGTGTCTTATCTCAGTTCTTTTTGGTCGCTCTTGTAAAGGAGATCTTAATCTCAGTGAGATTACCTGATTAAATAAAGTTTATAACACTAGAAAACAATCAAATAAAACAGTTTGAGATTGCACCTTGGAAACAGCAGAATGGCAAAAGTCTCACTACAAGGTCTGCTTAGTTTTGCATTTGCTTTGAGTGAAAACTATCCATCAATGAAGACAACAGGATATGGATGAAAGCTCCTGATAAAGTGGACCTAGTGATAAGATGTTTTTGGGATGAAAAATTTAAAAAATTTCTGTCACCAAAAATTAAAAAAACAAAAAACAAAAAACAAAAAAACCCACTGATCTTTGGTCAACATCATATACTGGTGCTTTAACTTTATTGAATTGGTTTAATTTAACATTTTTTGAGTCATATAATAACTTTTAGTTTCTATTGTTATTTGAGGGCAATGATCATTGACCCAGCTGCTAAAATGCTGACCTGAAACTGATGCATTTTGGGAAACAGTAATACTACCGCAATAAATTTCCCCAAACCTCCCAGACCTGTTACTCACCACAACACAAGGAAGCCTTTATGAGGAATGTGGCCACAATCTCTCTGTGTTAAATCCTCTCTCTCCCACCTAAGACTAACAAAAGGTCCTGATTATTTTCCAGGTTGAGACATTTCACAGTCTGTTGCACATTACTGTAACGGGGTACTTCAGGGGGTCAGTTTGGGTAATGTCTATGGGGATGATAAGAGGCCGATTCATTCTGGGATTGAATCTAATCCAGACAGCTTTCTGGACTATAATCATGCTCCTTGGCAATGCATGTATTTTCAAAAGATAAACTGGCCCCTCGCCACAGTAACGTAGATGAGTATATGATGTATGATGATGCAGGTCATGTCTAAAATCTATCCCCTCATCCTAAAATATGTGATTACTTTGATTTAGAGAGATAGTTGTGAGGAATAAAGTGATACATTTTCATCTATTGTGAAAAAAAAATCAAATAACCCAGTCCTGCGATTTTTACATTCCAGATGTGTAATAAAACACTTGCCAACAAGACACTATTTGTCCATTAATGTCAGGGTGTGTTGGTTCCTGTAAGGCAGGGCTTGTTAATTCTCAAATAACAGTTTTTTTTTATCTTCAACAGCCTCAACACAAAGAGGTGACTGCTTACTCTTTTATTGGGTCCTTTTAGTGGGAACACCGCAGTATGGTCCATTAGTGTTGTTACTGTTGCTTTCTCTTGTAGGGGAGGGAGAGGTCAGGGTCGACTGAGATCAACTCAAAGCTCATGAGTCATAATCTGTGTGGAGCTGTGGGCTACCGGTGGTTTGCTGAATTATTTTTAGTCAGCTTCTAAATTTTCCGAAATGATCTCCAAAACAGATTCCTGAGACACTGGGTACATCTAACATGTGTCATTATCCAGCAGTCGTTGCTGGTCTTTGAAAAACACTGCAAAAGATAAGTCTGTGGTAGGTCCATAACCACAAATGTGTATTTATACAAACTTCTTTTGTACTCTTGATAGATAGATACATAGATAACATAATGACTTCACTGCTTTGTCTCCTCTGTGTCTCCCATGGACTGAGACAAGGCAGGAGGGAATGTATCATGTCTCAGTATCCATTTAGTCACACACAAATTGGCTTCAGGGGATAAACATTAGACAACTGAACTATATTCAGTATGAGGGGTTGCAGCCTCCTGAGAATACTCCCCAGAAAAGCATTTTACCCTGAGCTACAGTATGCCATAGTTAGCAGGGAATTGAAATGCTCTCTGGACATAATGAATAATATTCCAAGGTGCATCACAAACATTAGACAATAGCTCTCCAGTCTTGGCACGGGCACGGACTGCCCCACCAAATCGTCCCCCATTATCCCAAAATTAAAAAGTAACTAAAAAGTACGTAAGTAGAATGCGCTACTTTGGCTCTGATGCAGCCACCTGTCTCTGGCCTGTAGTTTGTAGTTTGTAGTTTGGCGCAGTGTCCCGCCCACAGCGCCATCTGATTGGTTACACGTCACGCGCACCCTATCAATGCTGAATTGAACAGACGGCAGACGGTCACAGACTAGAGCAGTCCCGGTTACCATAAGCTCCATGTCGAAGGTAAGCCAGCATACATCAATGAAGTTATAATAAAAATCACAGTCCTCTACACTGAAGTTACAACAACACCACACTCTGATGAATAAGTTCATCTGTGGGTCCAAGACACACCGAGCAAAAGAGAGAGCGAGAAGCTAGCGCTAACTGCTAAGCTAAAGTAACTATCATCTGAACAGCATGTAAACAACTGCTGAATTAGTGAAAATCGTTAAAAGGAGCAGAAAGCTGTGAGTCCTCGAGCAGAACTAATGTAAGTTTAAATGTACAGCAGGTAGTTAGTCACCGTGATGAAGAAAACAGCAACACTAACTGTTTAGATATTGCGACATTAAACTCTACCAGTAACAGAAACTCCAGAGACTGGAGATGAGACACTGCACTGACTGCAGCACGTGAACGGTCACTAACTACCATTACTGAAAAGACATTTTCTACTGCAGAAGAAGTACAGTTACTGTGCAAAAATGTTATCTGATAAAAGTACAAGGTAAGTCGGTGAAAATGTCTCTGAGTAAATGTGTTACATTTTTAAAATGGTGATGGGAGGGCTAAAACATGTTATATGGTGATATTACTAAAAATGATATTAATATATGATAAAACCATTAAAGATCATCTTTAGGCTCCCAAGTGTTTCGGTTTCCATATGAGGACAGCACTGAAATCAACCAATTAATTTCAAATTAAATATTATGGGCTTATGTATTATTACATTCTATGACTACAGCAGCAAATGTCTCATCTCAGTGCGCTGCAGAACAGAGAGGTTCAGGAGATCCTTTGTTCCCACTGCCATCAGGCTACACCACAACTCAGCCAAAGGAAATGGACTAATTTGATTATTATTGTTTATTTATTATTAACTGTTATTATTATTATCAACAAACTAGCTTTCCGTCCAAACCAGGAGAACAAAGACAACTGTGAACCAGTGAGTTGGACTAGTATGGACTTTTCAAACTTTGTTATTTTAAATTGGTTAAAATTATAGCAGTTATTTGATTGCCCTTTATTGTTGCCTGGTTTTGAATGTTTATTTGTATTATGTTCAATTACATTCCTTTGTTTGATACCAGAAAGTGAAGAGATATTGGATGCGTGACTAAAGTGTATCACTTAATTTACTTTAGTTTATCATTGTTTGTGCTGACATTTTAAGTTGATATAATTGTATTCATTTTATCTTTATGTATTTTATCTCATGTAGAGAAAATCATCCATTTATTTATCCATCCATTCATCATGTAAACCAATGACCTGATCCTGAACTGTGGAAATAAATCATTAGAATGGCTACTGGATCCTGTGTTTGAATGTGCGCTTTTTTCAGGAAGTATAGCCAATATATTTTTATATAAGTGTGAAGGTGTTCTTGGTGTCCACTTTTTCTTGAATTCACAAATCCCACACACTGGAATTTAATTCCTGGTTGATCACAACCTGATATCAGCTCTCTCAGAACATGTCTGTATAGAAATCAGTGTTCAAAAGCTGCAGCAGCAGCAATATGGAATGAGCAAATATTTGTCATTTCACCTTGACTAAAGAATGCATTTGTTTGCACAGGGTTTTTCTATTGTTTGACTCTTAGAGCGGTTTTAATTCATGGAATAAAGAGATCATCCTAGATGTCACAAATAATGCATGAACAAAATAACTAATGCTCATAATTTAGAGTGTGGTTTAACTCCTTTTTGCAAGTCTATATCTTCTCATATGTGTCTATATTAGACCATGGAGCACTATAGTCTAGGAGTTGGTCAGATCAGTTGATATACAATCACATAACTGTACATGCACTGAGCTAACAGTGCATGTATGTGTTAGTCATTCTTGTGTATTTTCACAATACACTAACGTATGCACTGTGTTTGTGTTGACAGATATTTGAGACTTATCATGAAGCTGTTGCAGCTGCCATGAAATATCTAATTTTAGTTAGAGGGGCTAAGGAAGTTTTATGTTTTAACGATTTACATGCTAGAAATGTAGGTCTGTTTGAATGCTGTGATTATATAATCAGCTCTTTGCATCCATAAAGTTTAACCTTAATTGGTCCAAGTCATTTGCTCGTTTTTTTTTTTTTTTGGAAAGACAGTAAATTGTCTCGCATTAATAGCACAGTATTAAATGACAAGTCTAGACACAGACGAGAGCGAACTGCCTGTTCAGATCAATGAGTCTTCTTCCTCTGCAGCACCGACTCTGCTCTGCTCCCCCTCACTCCTGCAAGGAAAAGCCACTGGCCCAAAGAACACTCCTCCCCTCCTTCCTCTGCGGAGCCGGAGCTTTCTCCGTCTTTAAACTATGATCTGGCACCCTGTCTTCCTCGGTGCATGTTGTTTCCCTTCGTGAGGGGAGATTTCTGAGCTTGTTCAATGTCATGACACAGTGCAGCGCAGCATCGAAGTGGTCGCCTCTAACGCCACTGGAACTCCGGTGCCCAGGACTCTTTTCCAGAGCTTTGACTTTGGTTACATGAAATATGCGATGTTCGCAGGAGTGCCCGGTTCTTTTTCTGCTACTGCACTTTGTTTTCATCTTGGCAGCCGGCCACGAAGAGCTCTCCGACTCTGGCAGACTCCTCTCCCTCTTTGCAGAGCAAGGTCAGTGTGCTGCAGTTGTAATAGAAGTTTGCATGTATTTCTGTGTATGTTTGAATTGCATGCATGACTGGTAAAGTTTGGTTAGGTGCATGTCAATATGAGTTTGGAATCAATACATCACAACTGCAAAGATCTCATTCTATTGTAATGTGTTCAACTCTCTTCTGCAGCTCAGTTGCCTCAGTCAGGGTCAGAACTGTCCATTGTCCACCCAGAGAAAACCAACGCTGATGGAGAGTTCATCTCCCACTCTCTGTCTCACCACTTTATGGGTGGGAGAGTCAGGCGTGACCTTAGACCCTTTGCTTTGGAGGGACAAGTTTACTATAAGGTCAACTACAAGGGTCGAGCTTTAATGTTCAATCTGACTGCAAACAATAACCTGGTTTCAAATGACTACATCCTGGAGAGGAGGAACGGCAGCGCCAACAGGACTGAGCATCGCCTCTCTGGGGCGAATTCCTGCCACCTTCTTGGCACCGTGGAAGCCTCAGATGTGCGAGGAACTGCTGCCATCAGCACCTGTAAAGGCCTGGTAAGGAATCAGATTGTGTTACATAGATAACAGGGCAAAAAGGTCAATGTTAACCTTAGTCTCATTCATCAGATTGAACCCTTTAATCCATATGAGGCTTTTATGCAGATTCTTCCTCCCTAAATCTACAGTGTAGGTCATATCTCTTAGTTGCTTCTGGCAGGAAGGTTTTTTTTTTTTAATACACTTGAGAGAGGGGGGGGGGCATCACTCTTGGGGAGCTGGTATGTGGTTTAGGCAGTCTTGGGCTGTTAAGCAAACCCTTACATCTGACAGTGCCCTGTCTGTTAGTTTGCCTTTCAAAGACTTCCTGACACTATTTGCAGAACGACTGTGCTGACGGCTGCTGCTTTTCGGCCAACCATGAGACCCTTTTTGTCTTCTTTGTCTTTCAGATGTTTTCCTCTTTACTTTCACCCTCACTCATTCATTCACATCAGTGTCTGTTCTGCAGAAATTCTTTGTAACCCCCCCGACTCTTGGACATGCAGTGTTTTGCTTTGTTCTGTGCTAAGACAGAGCTTCAGTAATTGATTTTGGCACACTTTTATAGAGTGGAACTTGAAGGTTTGACAGATGGAGAGACAGGAAGTAGGGCCATACGTTTAGTTCAGAGAATTTTTTGATTTTATTTTTACTTCAGCTTTAATGTTTTAAATTGAATAAGTAGTTAAACTACAAAAGAAAAGAAGACAGCTGGACAGCAGAAAGACGAATGAGGGTCTCAACATATGAAGAATTTTAATTATAAAAAGACATATGCACCATATGAAAATTTCTGGACAGATTTCTGGTGCACTCACTGCTGCGTATCTGACCTTTTAAGATCTTTACTCTTCAGCACTTTTGAAAAAATAACCGACTAATTTGATTTTCAGCACTATTTTGAAACGACCAAATAGGAAAAGGATGTGGAAAAAGAGAAACTTTGAGCCTCTGAAATGATGGGATGTGTCAGCTTCAGTCATGAAGAATGTTTCGGTGTTCAAGTTTGATTGTGTCACAGCAGGAATGCCTCTCCTGCAGGGTCTTGCCTCCTGCCTCTCTGTTGTGTTTGTGTGGTTTGCACTGCCTCTTCCTGCCAAATCTTGTAAATGCAGTTCATTTGTTACATCTGACTCAGACCAACAAGACTATAATGCCAGCCACCCTTCCACTACCATCATTTATATCTGATTATATCTGACCCACTTTACATGCTCAAGTAATCCTCAATGGAAAAATGTTATGTCATTCAAAAGTCCATTTATCTACAACCTGCCACATTCAGAGTTTTTTTTTTTCTTTTCGGCAATCCTGAATGCCCCAGTTTGTCCCTTCTCTCCAACCTACAAGGGAAACCACTGTGATTTATTACCCTGATTTTCTGTTCGGAGATTTAGTGCAGCTAAAACCACAGAGAAACCACTAAACAGCAAGGCTCAGCCAGACAGATGTGGGGCGGGAAACCCTGCCAGCTGCTGTGGAGGTCATTTACCCTTAGGAAGTAGACTGAGATGGACTGCCGCAAAAAATGAAAACATGATCATCATTCGTTTATTTAAAATAAAACACAAGATACTAAAGGCTAAATAAACAGGAAGTTAACAGTAACCCAAACCCAAAAGATATTAATTTTAACATAATGTAAGATGGAAAAAGCAGCAAATTCTTTTTTGAAAAGCTGGAACCAAAGAAAGTTTGATGTTTTAGCCTGATAAGTGACTTAAACAATTAAGTGATTATCAAAATAAGTTCCAAATCATTTTCTGTTGATAGACTAATTGATTAATCATCTCATTGTTGCAGCTCTACTTGGCACAGAACAGGCACTGGAGCAGAATCATGCCATTTAAACACTGTAAAAGCCTCAAAGTGGTCCCTGCTGCTACATTAACACCTCTACACCCTGTCATGTTAACATCCAGTCACATGCGCTCAAACAAATAGAGCTGTACTGCAATGAGCTATACTGTATTTACCTTACATTTTGTCTTTACTAAGTTTACTTTACTATTGACTGCACATGTGAAACTGTGGCGACCAGAGCAACTGGGTGGAGGTTGCCATCACTGTCCTCTTTTCTTTCTGTGGGAAAAACCTGCAGTTCATGCAAAGCTGTAGCTTTCTCAGTGGAGTCTTCGGTAATCCCTGAGGCACAACACAAGGCAAGAACATGCAAGTGCAAACCTATTATTTTGGTATTTTCCTCACTTAAATGCACGTTTCTTCTCACTATGCAGATGAAAAATGATAATGTCTTTGACCCCTGCGACAGAAATTAGCTCGCAGGCAGGATTTTCTTGTGAAGTGTAAAAAAAAAAACTGAAGTAAGTGTAGTTAAACCTGTAATTATAAAGAAACAGTTGTCTTAAAATAAATGCAAGTTTGTTTGGTAGAAAATTGTTGTGATTAATCATATTGCAGTAATGAGCACCATCCGCCCCCACCTCTCCTTCTGTCCCACTAATCACTACTGAGGCCACAGGCAGTGTAACAGCAGAGACTTTATTCTAGACCCAGTTGGCCAGCACTACAAAACCCACAGAAGCAGGAAACAAAGGTAAAGCAGTTCCACATGGCCGATGTATTTAGAACGCAGACCTGTGTTATGGTAACCTCCCCTGGCTCTGGCACCTCACACCCAAACACGCTTCCTCTAGGTTAGAGGAGGGGGATTAATGGAGAGGAGGAGAAGGGCAGGAGGTGACGGAGGGAGGAGAGGTGGCGAAAGTGCAACGTGAACTCCATTGCGAGGCTGTTTCAGCTGGCAGAGCATTGAGGATTTAGAGCAAAAACTGTGTCAGAATAATCCCCTATTTTTATTCAGATGGGAAACAAAATTTCAAGTTGTCTTTGTTTGTTGAGCGCAGACATCACACAGGATCGGCACACGGTAATTTAAGGATCACAAGTAACACCATAACCACACTGTACGAGCAAAGCTTTGCAGGCTGTGTTGCACAGTAGGACTGCATTTGGTATGCAGATCATACAGATCATGCAGAGCAATGGTCTGCATGTTTGGATGGGCCTCACTGCAGCATTCCTTCCTGGTTGATCTGCGCTCCACCGCTTGCTCTTTCTGCTAGGACTCACTTGGTTTAGTTTAGCCCTCAGGAAAACATATAGCAGACAACTGGGAGGTACGATAACCGAGAATATGATCACATTTTTTCATACAGTGTGCGTTTTGTCTTGCAGGGAGATGATGCAAATGCAAAAAAAAAAAAAAAACATATGAATCCTGTCAAATACAGTATGTGTGGATGAGATACAGAGCAACAGTGGAATCAGCTGAGTGTTTTCTGAACAGGGCCTGTGGGAAACTTCCCCAGCTGAGGGAACACATATCAGCTTGCATGTTTTGTGGATGAGTCCACCGCAGCTCTGGGACCTCTGGCTGAAGGCCACGCTCTGAGGTAGTGCTGGAGAACCCTTTCTCAACATTTTATTTAATCTGAGTTTAGACAAAAATAGCCAAACTTCAGACATATACAGAGAACTTCTGTTAAGCATTTCAATCTTTATGTTGTTCTTATTGAGATTTTGCATGAACAAACAAGCCCGAGCAGTGTAGTTTAGTATCCTACCAAGTCTCTGTTCCAGTTTGTGGACACGTCTCATATTACAAGATTCTTTGCAACAGGTGGAGTAATGTAGTCTTTCCAAAGTAGGTGTTACTTCAGATTTGTACTTTCTGAACTCCCTGAATGGGGAAACAGGATACCCAATCAGAGCTCTGCAGACTGCTGAATGAATTTGGTCGCTGAAGTTTTTTTTTTCTCCCAAGAAACACACGTAAAACTTGTCAGGATGACCCAGAAAGCCGAGTGGTGCAGTAAACAGCAGGGTAGACCCTTGGAACTACAACTGGCCAAACTGTAAGCACTGCATGGCCTAATTTTTCACATCTGTTCCTCAAACACTGAGAAGAAATCCAAGAATCATATTCTATGAATTCTTTGTGTTGGTCTTGTTTGACTCAATACATGTGCAAGTTTGTTTTTTTTTCCAATTGTGTGTTATCTCCTGGAAACATTTAGCCATGCGCATGAACAATTTAACATTTAAATTCTTGCAGAAGAAAAATAAATGAATTTAGTTTCTGTACTCAGTTGAACATATGCAGACCTTCCTCTTTCCATCTGTTTGGCTCTTGACAGGATCATATATCCCTCTGTCATTCTCTCCTTTGCGAGTTAGCTTAGTGAGAGAGGGAGGGGTTCATCCCCGAACAGTCTGGGCTTGATTGGACACGAATCCCACACACACACACACACACAAACACACACACTCGCACATAGTCACCTTAATTAAGACAACTTGCAAACAGTGAGCTGGAGGCGGAACACTCATAATGTGTGTGTTTACAAGAAACAGTCAGAGATTTGACAGGACCCTCTTTTGCGTGTCTGCATGCATGTAAGTTTTCCTGTAGGTGTATTTGTATTGTGTGTGAGGGCGTGTAGCTAAGTACTTGGTTATGTGTGTGTTCACAAGCAGACCTCAATCAGCAAGTGAATAGCCTGCACCAGTAAGAACATGCATGGCATGCTTCGGAAAAAGTGGTTGTGTTGCTGCTGCAGCAGACAGAGAATGTGCCTCGGGGAAGGAGAAAAGTTCATATTCAGATCTGTTGACTAATGATGGATTCCAAACCCGATGGAAATTACTGAGGAATGACCTTTTCAGCAGGCTTTACAAGGGAACATCTATACCCTCTTACCTTTTATGTGTGGGAATTATTGAAACACTACAATTTTTGGTGATTTGTTGTTCCTCATAATTGTTACAACAGAAAAGTATGCTAGGCTGTAACTTTGCTGCTTTAGTCACAGTCTGAGAATGTGCGATATAAGAGACTTAAAGCTGTGTTAGGAAAGATTTTGGGATAAGCAATAATCTTTTAAATCTTAATTATAACTTGTAGACTGAGTAGAATGTCATGTCCCTAATAACTCAATGTAGATTTGCCCTTTTTTTTTCAGATGTGGTTACCTTTCTTTTCAGTGCACAGGAAGCAACTGATGAAAACTTAAACCTGTTCTGCTCGGTCTCCATCATTTCTGCTCAACTTATATTAATCTATGTAATTTTTGTTTTCCTCAGAGAGGCTTCTTCTCGCTGCCAGAGGGACAATATTTTATTGAACCTGTCCAAAAATCTCCAGATGATCCTGCGGGGACTCCAGAGCCCCACGTCGTCTATCCAAGAGTTACGACAGAAAGTCGCAGAAAAAAACGCAGCCTTGAGTCCAAGGAGACACCCAGCGCCTGCGGAGTTCAAGGTGTGTATCTGAATTAGTGTATGTATGTGTACAGTACTGCAGATGTTTGCGTAATTGTACACAAGTGAGCATTTTTCTCTGTGTCAAGTAAGGATAAGCCGCATGTTTACGCCAAGTGATGTCTTCCATTATCCATGCTCTAGATGCTCCAAGTGACTCTGTCCAGGCGGAGAGGGAAAGGGAGGAATGGGAGAGGGAGCAGCAGACTGGGGAGGACCAGGCTCAGTCCCGCTCGCAGCGCTCAGTCAGCAGAGAGCGGTGGGTGGAGACCATGGTGGTGGCCGACTCCAAACTCATCGAATATCACGGCAGTGATAATGTGGAGTCCTACATCTTCACCATCATGAACATGGTGAGGGGTTAGAATTAACATTTGGTTTTACCTTCTACATTTGCTCTCATCCATTCTCAGTTTCTGCACAGCTGCCACATTTCTTAGTTGTGAATGATCTTTATTTTTTACAGGTGGCGGGAATCTTTCATGATGCCAGTATTGGGAACGCCATCCATGTCATCTTGGTGCGCCTCATTTTGCTGCAGGGAGAAGAGGTAACACTCACCTGGAAGAAGTAGTTCATGACATTTCAATGGGTTTTCATTATTTTTGCTAGTTTAAATGTGGAACAAAAGAAGCACATGCATATCTATGAAGAGGTCCTCATAAGGGGCAGAAAAGATATAAAGAAACTGTGAGACTTTCCTTTAGTTGGCTGCAGTTGTAGCTCCTTGGACTGAGCATCCATCTGAAGATTCAAGCCCCTTGAACATGGACTGAAGTCAGCTGCTCAAAGTTTGTACGCTTTAAATTTGGCAAACTAGGAAACCCAGTGGACCCAAATAAGAACCCAATGGACTGACCACATACTTAATGATCCAAATCTTGTTTGCCCCATAAAATTGTCAGATCAAGCTGCAAACCTTAATCACATTATGTCACATCATGTATAAAACTTAGGTTTCACCTTTTTCTTGGCCTGTATCCTGAGAAACAGATCTTTTTCACCGCAGACCTGTTGGCATGTCATCATAGGAAAAGCACAGATGTAATTGATAACATTAAAAGTAGCTGCATTCCATTAAGGTGAGCTACTTTCAGTGTCCTGATACTGTGGATGGTGGCTCACTGGGACACTTGAACTGATTTGAACTAAGCCCATCATTAACTAAATCTGTTCCACCTGTGTTTCTCCCGCTGTGAAAAAGGTCTGTTCTGTCAGCAGGTGTGTAGTTAACACCTGTTTACAAAGGAAAGTGAATGAAAGTGAACCGCTTGCGTTGTAAATCACAGCGGGCCCCTGCTGGAAATGTGCTCAAACTGAGATGACGAGTCTCTACTGCTATGTAACTGATACTGCGCTCAAAAAGAACAAGAAGAACATTTTTCTTCAGGGTCAAAAATAATAATAAAAAAATTTAAAAAAATGACAATGTAAAAAAATTATGAATGATGCCAAAAATGTGCAGAATGATATTTCTGATTGTGCTGTTTGTTGCAGAAAGGGCTGAAGATCGTTCACCACGCAGACACCACGCTGGCCAGTTTCTGTGCTTGGCAGAAAAACCTCAATCCTCAGAGCGACACACACCCTGCTCACCATGACGTGGCTGTGCTGGTCACCAGGCAAGTCACACAGCAGTTTAGCAACTTAATCAGAAATTTAATTAGGTAACTTCAATGAAATGGATAAAATGATATGCTCTAATGCTAGCCCCTCGTGAAAATATGGCATACTTAATTTTCCCCTCAGGAAAGACATCTGTGCTGGAATGAACCAGCCCTGCGAGACCCTGGGACTGTCTCATCTGTCTGGGATGTGTCAACCACACCGCAGCTGCAACATCAATGAGGATTCAGGGCTACCTGTCGCCTTCACCGTCGCTCATGAAATGGGCCACAGGTGTGTGTGTGTGTGTGTGTGAGAGAGAGAGAGAGAGAGCTGCATAATGGAATATCATAACAATGGGCTGTATGACAAAGAAAGCATCCTGTTCCCATGATCGGTTACTATAGAGGAATATAAAGTTGTGTCATTAAATATCTTAGCATTAGCACATGAGCCTATTAGTGGTTTGGCTGTAGGCAAATAATTGCTAGTATCTAGTAACCGGACATAAAAGAAAAACATTGATACCTGAGAACTTTGTAGCTTTGCTTTGGATTACTGTGACACACAAAAAACATATTTTCTTTAATGCCATTTTTCTGTTGCTGTGCTTTGTTGAGTCATAGCTTCAGTGCTACTTCAATCAGAAGACACTGGTGAACTAATATAAAGTCTTGCTGATAAAATGGGAGTTGGTGCAGCTGCTGATTATGACGGATGTAGGGATTCCCCACTATAAGTTACTAATATAATTTATAAATTACATACAAATCTTCACAATGCCCTGTTTGGGCAAGAAATTCATGCACTTTTCTGCTTTTTACTAACAGGAAGTGATGTAAGACAAAGAAAAGTCATCAAATGACCTAACTGAGATGTGGAAACAAATGTAATACTTGCATGTATCACAGGATTGGGACACTGAGATTGGTAGGTTGTTTATTCAGAGGCACAGTCTGCAAAATCTCCACCATGACAGCCAGAGCAGGTCATCTCTTCTTGTAAAACTTTTCTTCGTGTAATGATAATATAATAATTGGTCATGTTATTTGAGTGCAGCTTTGGAATTCATCATGATGGCCAGGGGAATGACTGTGAGCTGGAAGGGAGGCACCCGTTCATCATGTCCAGACAGCTGATGTATGACAGCTCGCCCCTCACTTGGTCGTCCTGCTCCAAAGAATACATCACACGCTTCCTCGAGTACGTCTGAATTCATACATTATCCTGAAGCCATGATAAAATATCATACGTAATACTGTATCTCTTTGTGTGGGGGAACACAAACTGTGTGAATTGCAAGGGTTGAGAAATCATGAAAATGAGAGAAATGACAAAGTGGATATGCTGGTGCACATTTGAATGGAGGCTTTGAAAATGATCCAAAAAACACAATGGGTGTGGTTCGTTTTGGAATTAAACACGGTTACAAAAACATTGATCTGAAGCAAACTGCCACAAGCTATGGTTTTAAAAGAGCAGCAAAGAACAGAAGTACAAAATATGCTGAGTGGGCATGGTTCACACGAAGCCAGAAAATCCAGAAAATGACAGAAAAGGAAGCGCAGCCTAAAGGAGTTGCAAATGTTTGCTTTGACTCTCATTATTTTTCTATTGAAATCTCTGTCAATGATGAATTCAAGAATTCCTCTCTGACAACAATTTCACCTGGAGCTCCTGCAGAGTCAGAGGTCAGAGCTCGCGTGTGTTGAACTCTGACCTGTGAATCAGCATTTAGAGTAGTTGTCTCTTAACAAGTTTGTCTGGTGTTTTCCCATCACCCTATTTAATGTAACACTCGGCTAGGAGACTTCAAAGTGCGCTCTTAGAGCAAACGATGTTCCCTGGCATGTTTTGACACGACATCAAGTTTGTATGTGTTTGTAAAGATTTTGCTAAATGTTCAAAGCGTGCTGGGTAGCCACAGTCAAGGACAAGCAAACTCCTCCCTGCTGAAATCCTACTGTATTGATTTTCTCTTTCCTCTCTCTGTCAGGTATCTCTCTCAGCCACCACACCACCTTGTGCCCCTTTCTCTCTGTCATCTCTTTCAAAAAGTCTCACATTGTGTGTTTGTCTGCCTTAGTCGTGGCTGGGGTTTCTGTCTGGATGACCGTCCCTCCAAGAGGGACCTCACCACCCCGCTGGCTCGCCTCGGTGTCCGCTACACCACACACCACCAGTGCCAGCTCCAATACGGCCCAAACGCGACCTTCTGCCCTGAGGTCGATGTGAGTATTGTTCACCAGAGAACCAACTGAAAACTGAAACCTCAGAAATCCTTTCCAAAAAAAACTTTTTTCCATTTTGTGTCTTTTCTTTCAGAACGTTTGCCAGATTCTTTGGTGTTCAGTGAACGGCTCCTGTCGCTCCAAACTGGACTCACCCATTGATGGCACTCGCTGTGGACCAGAGAAGGTGGATGGTGCCACTTGCTTTGTCTTGTTAGGGTTTAGGGTTTCATTTACCTGGGGCTAGGAAATGGTTAGCACTGTGGATGTGAGTGTGATGCTGGCGCAGACTCTTGAGTATTAAATGTGATTTATTTGAATGATCTTAGTAGCATTTCTTTCTTTTTCAGTGGTGTATCTCAGGAGAGTGTGTCATTGTGGGTAAGCTCCCGGAGACGGTGAATGGAGGCTGGGGACAGTGGAGTACCTGGTCTCACTGCTCCAGGACCTGTGGTACAGGTGTTCAGTCAGCGGAGAGGGAATGTAACAACCCCAAGTAAAAGCACATTGAAGCTCTTTTCTCCCACTTCTGTTCTTTTACTTTTCAGTCACTGTCTTTCACAAATGATGGCCTGAAACAAAACTGACCGCCTGCTTGATTCAAAGTGTCCCACTGTTTTCCACAGACCAGAGTTTGGAGGCAAGTACTGCACTGGAGAAAGGAAGCGTTACCGGACTTGTCACACAAAACCTTGCCAGAATGATAAACCAACCTTTCGAGAGATGCTGTGCAGTGAGTTTGACACGGTGGCCTACCACAACGAGCTCTACCAGTGGATTCCTGTGGCTAACCCATGTAAGTGATCAAAGCCTCAAATATAGAGTTCGGTACTGCAGATACAGACACACATAGTGGTCTTTGCACTTCCCTGTAGCAATTGTATGAGTCACCCAACAGAGGGCAGCATTTACACTGGAAAGGCGTCAGTGATGCACCTTGTCTGTCTCAGTAGGGGCGAATATCATTACAGTACTCCAGTTGCTGTCCTTGCTGTTATTCCCTGTATTAAAATCACTAATCACATGACCGCTTATTGTGGCATGTGTGAAAGGAAAGAAAACAAAACAGAGATGAGCTCCATCATTAAGAATTTTGCCTCATCATTAGTTCCCAAGGCAGTTTGACAAAAGTAAAACTTCTCTCATACTAATCATTCACTGGAGGTAAATGGAAATCTTCTTCCCCCCCATCTCACAACCATCTTCAGTAAATCCCTGCGAGCTGCACTGTCGACCAGTCAATGAGTATTTTTCGGAGAAGATGCTCGACACTGTGACAGATGGGACGCCGTGCTTCATGAACAACAAGTCCAGAAACATCTGCGTCAACGGAGTGTGCAAGGTAGTGTGGCTTGGTAAGAGACTAAAAGAAAAGCTGGAGGGGGTTATAGCGGAGCAGGGTATGAGTCGTGCTGCAGTGTAACTACAGTATAATAGAGGGAGGAAATTTTCTGTGTAAACCTCCATCTTATGTTACACTGTTGACACAATGTGTGTGTGTGTGTGTGTGTTTTTGCCTGTAGGAGGTAGGCTGTGACTATGGCATTGACTCAAACGCTGTGGAGGATCGTTGTGGAGTCTGTTTGGGTGACGGCACAAGCTGTGAGACGGTCTACAAATCATTTGACGAAGCAGAGGGCTTTGGTGAGTTCAACACAAAGGATATTTGAGCAGCTGGAAACAAATTAAATTATCGAGACATAAGAAATTACACAATTATGAAAGTGTAGTAACACAAAACAGACAATCTTTTAATGGGGGAAAAAAAAAAGCTTTGATGTGATGCACCAGAGGAGTGTTAATTCAAATTTATGCCTACAGACAGAAAGTCATTTCAGGACAGTTCATTAGCATTACGCCATTCTGTTTTTTCTTTGTTGTCATGGCAGCGTTCTTGTCCACACCGGCAGCTGTTTGTCCTGCTGTACTTGGCTGGTGTCATGTGTGTGTGTGTGCGGGCCCATGTTTGCATTTGTCTAAAGATACACATGTCTTTGGCTGACTTTGCTATGCTTGGAAAAGTATAACTCACCCGCTGAATCAACATACCATGAAGACAGATTAATAGAGAAAGAGGCTCTAAAACAATAAAACCGTCCCTCCTTTCTCCCCTTCTCCCTCTTTCTGTGTGTGTTTGCCCCACACAGCATCCTTTCCAGATAACCAGCCCAGATGTGTAGACTTCAAAAGGCTTAGACCAAGGGCAAACCCCCCCCCTTTTTTGCACAAACACAGAAACACACACACCTTCCCACAAACATCATTAAACTCCAGAGACCCACTCATAGCTGCTTTCGTCCTCCCCCATCCACACACAATAAAAAACAGAGACAGGGCAGTGCCCCCCACGCCGAATTTGCACACACACACACACACACACACACACACACACACACACACACACACACACACACACACACACACACACACAGACACATGCCAACCACCCCCACAGACTGAGCCCACCCTCTATTAAAGATCAGAGAGAAACTGTCTGGTAGTCTGGATGTGAGTGTGGCAGCAGCCATGGTGGCCCATCCATTACCTCGCTGTGACTCTGACTCCCCTCCTGACTCTCCCAGGGTACGTGGACGTGGGTGTGATACCTGAGGGGGCGCGGGACATCCTGGTGAAGGAAGTCGAGGAGGCAGGTAACTTCCTGGCTCTGAGAAGTGAGTCGTCGGAGGAGTATTTCCTCAATGGCAACTTCATCATCCAGTGGAACGGGGAGTACGAGGCCGGTGGGACGACGTTCTACTACGAACGCAGCGGAAACATGGAGAACCTCACTGCTCCTGGACCCACCAAGCAGCCAGTCATGCTCCAGGTAGGCCAACATAGCACAGCAAGGGAGGGGAGGTTATTCACTTTCACAGTTATAAATTTTTCAGCACTGTGAGATGTATAGTAGTAAACGACAATTTACATTTTTACCCAGTGGTCACTGCAGAGTGATTTCAACCAATCGGGCATAGAGAAGAGCGAGAGACTTCAAGGACAGCCAACCAATCAAACTTTGCATGTTTTCGAAATGAGCTTAGACATTTCCGAATATCGGCAAAAGCAGAAGATACTGGAATCAGACAGTATGAAAACTGTCTTTATCATATGTCTTTGTATGATTGTCACATATGTATGTATGTATGCTCGTGAAAGGATCCTCTGATAATATTTCATGTGGTTGTGCAGTTGCTGTTTCAGGAGAAGAACCTGGGTTTAAAGTATGAGTACACCATTAGGAAGACCAAAGAGACAGGAAACGAGATCATCGAACCCGTTTACAGTTGGAGACACGGGGCGTGGACAGACTGCAGCACCACCTGTGGCTTAGGTCGGTGTTGCATTTGACACGAAAACTCTTATTCTCTAAATTTGTAACTTGCAGGATTTCAGTACCATTTCAGTTATGACCTGTCTGTCTGCTTTCTGACGTCCTGTCTGTTTTTAGGTGAGCAGCATCAGCCCGTGCGGTGTTTCGAGGTGGATGTGGGTGTTGTGGATGAGTCTCTGTGTGATCACGAAAGCCGTCCAGATGACAGACACCGGAAATGCAAGACCATGGATTGTCCTGCAAGGTCCTTACTCTCAAATACCATTTGCCTGTTTTTCTGTCAGTGTTATTATGACCTGAAAACATATTGTGCTGTGGAGTTAGTTTTATAAACATGTCCTGATCACTGCATGTTGATCAAGTCATAATATCTGAGATCGACCAGGTTATCTAACTGGACCCATAGAATATAATGGCTGGTTTGAAAGTAAAAGTCATTTCACTGCCTCATTGTGATGCTGTGTTCTCTCCGCTTACCCCTGGCTTTCACTGTAATGAGAAACAGCGAAAATTCAGCCAGTGAAACTAATTATTTCACTCAAGTTTTCATTTGGGTATCGAACTATAACTCAAAGTTGGCATTGATGGTCTGGTAAAATTTGTAGTCTTACGTCTTCTTTGATCACATACTGTAGTTCCTGATTCAAATCAACATTTTGCCATTTTTTTTAGACAATGCAAAATTAGCTATTTGACAATTACTTGTACAATTGCTTGGGTTTTGACAACATCTAACATTTTAGAAACCTGGCTTCTTTTGGTAAATGAAAGACAGAAAAGATGAAAAAGATGGCAACATTATCCACTTACCATGTGCTCCCCATCAGCGGCCTCTTTCCTCACCCTCTTTTCATCTCCATCCCCCTTGGCCTCAGGTGGTGGGTCGGGGGTTGGCAGCAGTGTACAGCCACCTGTGGATCAGACGGCGTGAGAAAGCGAACAGTGCTCTGTGTCCGTACAGTTTCAGGGGAGGAAAGGGTGCTCCACCCCGTGGAGTGTAAGCATCTCCTTAAACCCAAACCTGTGGTGCCGTGCAACAGAGATGTACCGTGTGGACAGGACTGGGCGGTCGGGAACTGGGAAGAGGTAAGCCTTGTTTTCTGATTTCTGATTTATTTTCTTCTCCATAGCTTTTATCTTCCTCAGTTTTCCTTGCATTTGTCTCCTTTTTCCTTAATACCTTCCTTTACGTCTGAATCAATATGTCACACATGTTCTTTTTTTTCTTTGCAGTGCCCGGTCACATGTGGAGGAGGGGTTCGCTCACGCACAGTCACGTGTGCAGTAGCACCCAAAAAGACCTGCGATCTCTCAACCAAACCTCGATCCAGATCACTGTGTGCCCTGCAGAGCTGCCCTAACTCAAGTCTACGTAGACGACCTGGACCTCCCCCTAAATACCGCCGCATTTACCCACCTAAGAGCCACCCCACCAAGCATCCTGGTTCCCCTACCCGGGCTCCCATGAGCACCACAGCCACAGCTGCTACCCCTGCTACACCACCCACGACTGCCGTCACCGTGAGGAAGAAAACAACTACCAAAGAAACTACAACTGCTGTCATCCCCACCACCACATCCCCTTCAACCCCTGGAACCACAGTCCCCGAAATCATAGACACAGATGATTATGAGTTCAGTGTTATAGTGAGGAAAAATGGGGATAAGAGAGGGAAAGTTTTCCCTTCTAAAAAGAAAGCAACTGACGTGGAAAAGGAAAACATGGAAGGAGAGGAGGGAAGTACGCCGAATGTGGGGATGTACACTCCAGGATATGATTATGTTGTTGAGGATAGGACAACAGAAGAGGAAGCGATTATTGACCTGGATGTTTTTACCACAGCTACATCACTCAAAAAACCCCTTAAATCAACCACTTTGCAAACAAGTCCACCTACCATGCACACAACCAGAACACCCACCATAACTGCCTACTCTACCCCACACACCAGCACTGAAACATGGGCGAAGACGACTCACCACTTATCCAACCACCACACCAGTCCATACAGCCACTGGACACACAGGGTTCCTCTCACCACTCCCACGTACAAGCATCACCGATCAGCACCAATGAAAGCTGGCTTCCACGCAACACAAGCTCCCACCACAACTGCAAGAAAACTCTTCACCACTGCAGCATCCCCCCAGTCAACAGTAAAGATTATTAAACTCAAGAAACCTGCTGTGACACCCAGGAAAAATAGTTCTGCCTCTCGTGCTAAAAAGCCCTCTCCACGGTCCAAAGGCATTCGCTCCAAGAGCCAGAACCAGCAGCCAGAAAGTCCCATGAGTGGCCCCTCCAGTGACCAAAGTAACCTGATGGCCAGAGAGCCAGTCAGCATGGATGTATTCTGGGTTGTAGGAAACTGGAGCGAGGTGGGTGCAGACTTTTTATGATCGTATACTCTCTAAAGTACTATTTAAAAGTTTAAGCCCTACAGGTTTGACACTTTAATGCTGACTTTTGAAAGCTTTGTAAATTGATCTGCAGAGACTTGAAATTAACAGAGAGTTTTAGTTTTAGGGAAAGTTTCTTACGTGGAAATAAAGTTGCTAGTGGGGGCTGCGAAACTCTCTTCAGTGAAGCTTTCAGTTCCCACATTTTGAGCACTGTCAAAAAGCATTATGTTACCAGAAAATGCAGAAGAAAAACAATTAGCAAACATGAATATTAATTTGATAATTTCATCAGAATGATGGACATCCCTGAATTCACCAAAAGAGTTTTCAAAACTGATTGATTTGCTTTTATCAGGCTGGTTGTTGTTTTGGTGATTCCTGAAATATCTACTTTATAATGTTATTGCCTTTACATTTCACTTTAATTAGTACACACATATGATAAGATAGTCCCACATTGGGGAAATTTGTAGTGTTAGAGCAGCAAAGTGGACAGTACAAAAAAGAACTGTCAATAACAAATTCTAAAAATGTAAAAAGAATAAAAGATACATAATCAGATATTTAAATAGCAGCAGATAAGGAATATTGCACAGTTGTTGTATGTTAATTATTGCACGTGAGTTTGTCAGATTTTAAACCCATAAACCCAGTCTGAGCTTTAACCTGAAAATATCCCTTGCTTCCCCAGTGTTCGACAACATGTGGGATTGGTGCGATATGGCGAACAGTCGTGTGCAGCTCCCAGAATGATGAGGACTGTGCCAGCGTGAAGAGACCTGAGCCGGCACGCACATGTCAGCTGCAGCCTTGCGCCACCTGGCAAAGTGGCAGCTGGAGCAAAGTGAGTAACGTTAGATTTCCTCCAGTCACTGAATCTGATAATTACATTTACACATTACTTGTTAATTACACTCAATACTTAATTATAATTCTGCGGTTACGTTTCAAGATGATGATGAAATGGATTTGTTCTCACTCGTCATGCATTTCTGAGCTGTTCATTACACTGTGATCATATATCCACAGTGTCCAGATAACTGTGCGGTGGTGGGAAGGAGGTACCGTGACGTCCAGTGTATCGACTCTCAGAGTAAACGTCCCCTCAGACCTTTCCACTGTCAGGCTGTGTCTAGCAGACCCCTCAGCACCTTGACCTGCCCCCACAAGCCCTGTATGAACTGGAGTATATCACCCTGGGGACCGGTAGGAGCATCATACACATTAAATCTCTATATATTACACTTTTTGCATACATTTTCGTAACATTAAAGAGTGATACTTTTATATACATATGGAGGTTTATTTACTGTCTGTGGCCATAGAAATAGTTTTGGTTTTATTTGCCTAAGTTTTGAGATGACCCCCTTGAGGTTCTCACATCAATATTTTTGTAATCTGGGGGGAGTTAATCCTTTGATATTGAAAATCACCACTGTCATTAAATTGCCAATTTTTTTAACCATTTGAGAACTAATTTTCTGTATATGGGGATGATTTGTGTTTCATTTACACACATTCTGGATATAGATTTCATCATATGTCCTACTAATCATTTCCAACAGTTATTGCTGCTCTACTGCAAGCTGTAGCCTCTACTACATTACACTGACAATTAAGGATATTTCACATCCAAGTCCACAAATTTATGAAAATTGTCACATGCTTCTCCCACATTATAATGATTCAGATGTAGGGAAATTTCAATTTTTCCAATCTCAACAAAAAGCAGATAGCGCCCTGAAATCCTTGTGTTTTCCTCAGTGCTCCGGCAGCTGTGGCGAAGGCATCAGGGAGCGGCTGGTGTACTGTCCCCAGCCTCTTCGCTGTAGCACCACACGGAGGCCGAACGGCACAGAGCCGTGCAGTCTAAAGCCCTGTACTAAGTGGAAGACTGAGGACTGGGAGGAGGTCAGTCAGTCACACACGCTTGAAATTTCCTTGAGGCTTTGAGGATGTTTCTAAAATGCAATAAATTATCCAATTTAATAGTCTTAGAAGTGGACTAAATTATTGCTCTGTGTGTGTGTGTGTGTGTGT